TGTATTGTATGTGTGTGTAAGTATGTGTATTGTGTGTAAGTATGTGTATTGTATGTGTGTGTAAGTATGTGTATTGTATGTGTGTGTAAGTATGTGTATTGTATGTGTGTGTGTAAGTATGTGTATTGTATGTGTGTGTAAGTATGTGTATTGTATGTGTGTGTGTAAGTATGTGTATTGTATGTGAGTGTAAGTATGTCTATTGTATGTGTGTGTAAGTATGTGTATTGTATGTGTATGTGTAAGTATGTGTATTGTATGTGTGTGTAAGTATGTGTATTGTATGTGTGTGTAAGTATGTGTATTGTATGTGTGTGTGTAAGTATGTGTATTGTATGTGTGTGTAAGTATGTGTATTGTATGTGTGTGTGTAAGTATGTGTATTGTATGTGTGTGTAAGTATGTGTATTGTATGTGTGTGTAAGTATGTGTATTGTATGTGTGTGTGTAAGTATGTGTATTGTATGTGTGTGTGTAAGTATGTGTATTGTATGTGTGTGTAAGTATGTGTATTGTATGTGTGTGTAAGTATGTGTATTGTATGTGTGTGTAAGTATGTGTATTGTATGTGTGTGTAAGTATGTGTATTGTATGTGTGTGTAAGTATGTGTATTGTGTGTGTGTGTGTAAGTATGTGTATTGTATGTGTGTGTATGTTTATTGTATGTGTGTGTAAGTATGTGTATTGTATGTGTGTGTAAGTATGTGTATTGTATGTGTGTGTAAGTATGTGTATTGTATGTGTGTGTAAGTATGTGTATTGTATGTGTGTGTAAGTATGTGTATTGTATGTGTGTGTAAGTATGTGTATTGTATGTGTGTGTGTAAGTATGTGTATTGTATGTGTGTGTAAGTATGTGTATTGTATGTGTGTGTAAGTATGTGTATTGTATGTGTGTGTAAGTATGTGTATTGTATGTGTGTGTAAGTATGTGTATTGTATGTGTGTGTAAGTATGTGTATTGTGTGTGTGTGTGTAAGTATGTGTATTGTATGTGTGTGTGTAAGTATGTGTATTGTATGTGTGTGTAAGTATGTGTATTGTATGTGTGTGTAAGTATGTGTATTGTGTGTGTGTGTAAGTATGTGTGTGTAAGTATGTGTATTGTGTGTGTGTGTAAGTATGTGTATTGTATGTGTGTGTAAGTATGTGTATTGTATGTGTGTGTAAGTATGTGTATTGTATGTGTGTGTAAGTATGTGTATTGTATGTGAGTGTAAGTATGTGTATTGTATGTGTGTGTAAGTATGTGTATTGTATGTGTGTGTAAGTATGTGTATTGTATGTGTGTGTAAGTATGTGTATTGTATGTGTGTGTAAGTATGTGTATTGTATGTGTGTGTAAGTATGTGTATTGTATGTGTGTGTATGTGTATTGTGTGTGTGTGTAAGTATGTGTATTGTATGTGTGTGTAAGTATGTGTATTGTATGTGTGTGTAAGTATGTGTATTGTATGTGTGTGTGTAAGTATGTGTATTGTATGTGTGTGTAAGTATGTGTATTGTATGTGTGTGTAAGTATGTGTATTGTGTGTGTGTGTAAGTATGTGTATTGTATGTGTGTGTAAGTATGTGTATTGTATGTGTGTGTGTAAGTATGTGTATTGTATGTGTGTGTAAGTATGTGTATTGTATGTGTGTGTGTTAGTATGTGTATTGTGTGTGTGTAAGTATGTGTATTGTATGTGTGTGTAAGTATGTGTATTGTATGTGTGTGTGTAAGTATGTGTATTGTATGTGTGTGTAAGTATGTGTATTGTATGTGTGTGTATGTGTATTGTATGTGTGTGTGTAAGTATGTGTATTGTATGTGTGTGTAAGTATGTGTATTGTATGTGTGTGTGTAAGTATGTGTATTGTATGTGTGTGTAAGTATGTGTATTGTATGTGAGTGTAAGTATGTGTATTGTATGTGTGTGTAAGTATGTGTATTGTGTGTGTGTGTAAGTATGTGTATTGTATGTGTGTGTAAGTATGTGTATTGTATGTGTGTGTAAGTATGTGTATTGTATGTGTGTGTGGGAGTATGTGTATTGTATGTGTGTGTAAGTATGTGTATTGTATGTGTGTGTAAGTATGTGTATTGTATGTGTGTGTAAGTATGTGTATTGTATGTGTGTGTAAGTATGTGTATTGTATGTGTGTGTAAGTATGTGTATTGTATGTGTGTGTAAGTATGTGTATTGTATGTGTGTGTGTAAGTATGTGTATTGTATGTGTGTGTAAGTATGTGTATTGTATGTGTGTGTAAGTATGTGTATTGTATGTGTGTGTGTAAGTATGTGTATTGTATGTGTGTGTAAGTATGTGTATTGTGTGTGTGTGTAAGTATGTGTATTGTATGTGTGTGTGTAAGTATGTGTATTGTGTGTGTGTGTAAGTATGTGTATTGTATGTGTGTGTATGTGTATTGTATGTGTGTGTAAGTATGTGTATTGTATGTGTGTGTAAGTATGTGTATTGTATGTGTGTGTAAGTATGTGTATTGTATGTGTGTGTGGGAGTATGTGTATTGTATGTGTGTGTAAGTATGTGTATTGTATGTGTGTGTAAGTATCTGTATTGTATGTGTGTGTAAGTATGTGTATTGTATGTGTGTGTAAGTATGTGTATTGTATGTGTGTGTAAGTATGTGTATTGTATGTGTGCGTAAGTATGTGTATTGTATGTGAGTGTAAGTATGTGTATTGTATGTGTGTGTAAGTATGTGTATTGTATGTGTGTGTGTAAGTATGTGTATTGTATGTGTGTGTAAGTATGTGTATTGTGTGTGTGTGTAAGTATGTGTATTGTATGTGTGTGTGTAAGTATGTGTATTGTGTGTGTGTGTGTAAGTATGTGTATTGTATGTGTGTGTATGTGTATTGTATGTGTGTGTAAGTATGTGTATTGTATGTGTGTGTAAGTATGTGTATTGTATGTGTGTGTAAGTATGTGTATTGTAAGTATGTGTATTGTATGTGTGTGTAAGTATGTGTATTGTATGTGAGTGTAAGTATGTGTATTGTATGTGTGTGTAAGTATGTGTATTGTATGTGTGTGTGTAAGTATGTGTATTGTATGTATTGCATGTGTATTGCATGCATGCAGGTATGTGTGTCTGAGTATGGGTATTGCATGCATGCAGGTATGTGGGTTTGTATGTGTCTGAGTATGCATATTGCATGCATGCAGGTATGTGTGTCTGAGTATGGGTATTGCATGCATGCAGGTATGTGTGTCTGAGTATGCGTATTGCATGCATGCAGGTATGTGTGTCTGAGTATGCGTATTGTATGCATGCAGGTATGTGTGTGTGAGTATGCGTATTGTATGCATGCAGGTATGTGTGTCTGTGTATGCGTATTGTATGCATGCAGGTATGTGTGTCTGAGTATGGGTATTGCATGCATGCAGGTATGTGTGTCTGAGTATGCGTATTGTATGCATGCAGGTATGTGTGTCTGAGTATGGGTATTGCATGCATGCAGGTATGTGTGTCTGAGTATGCGTATTGTATGCATGCAGGTATGTGTGTGTGAGTATGCGTATTGTATGCATGCAGGTATGTGTGTCTGTGTATGCGTATTGCATGCATGCAGGTATGTGTGTCTGAGTATGCATATTGCATGCATGCAGGTATGTGTGTCTGAGTATGGGTATTGTATGCATGCAGGTATGTGTGTGTGAGTATGCGTATTGCATGCATGCAGGTATGTGTGTCTGAGTATGGGTATTGCATGCATGCAGGTATGTGTGTGAGTATGCGTATTGCATGCATGCAGGTATGTGTGTGTGAGTATGCGTATTGTATGCATGCAGGTATGTGTGTGTGAGTATGCGTATTGCATGCATGCAGGTATGTGTGTGTGAGTATGCGTATTGCATGCATGCAGGTATGTGTGTGTGAGTATGCGTATTGCATGCATGCAGGTATGTGTGTGTGAGTATGCGTATTGCATGCATGCAGGTATGTGTGTGTGAGTATGCGTATTGCATGCATGCAGGTATGTGTGTGTGAGTATGCGTATTGTATGCATGCAGGTATGTGTGTGTGAGTATGCGTATTGCATGCATGCAGGTATGTGTGTCTGTGTGTGTATGCGTATACTGCATGCATGCAGGTATGTGTGTCTGTGTGTATGCGTATCAAGATGCGACTAACAGGATCGGGTGGTCAGGCTCGCTGACTTGGTTGATGCTTGTCATTGTATCCTAATTACGTCGATCAAGGCTCATGTTATCAATCACTGGACTGGTCCAGACTTGATTATTTACAGACCGCCGTCATATAGCTGGAATATTGCTGAGTGCGGCGTTAAAAAACCCAACAAAAAACAACCCCAAAACTACCTGCTGAATGAATACAATCTATTTACCTGTTTATTCTCTGGAAATAAATATCTTGCACCAATACAGTAACGTCATACATGAATTAAGTTTATTGAAAACAGTTCTCGATCTTGTGATTTGAACATGTATAAAACATGGCATTTTGTTACTGATTCGGCAACACAGTCCTAATGCATATAAAGAAAAGTTTAAAGGGATGTTTTGTAAATTATTATTTGGAATATGTAATAAAATATATTTCTTTTCTGGTCTTGTAAATAGATCTGAAACTGAAATGTACATTTGTGTGAATGACTTCATAAATACTGACTGTCTTGAATATTTATGAAAGAAATTGCTGTGCACTCATTGTTGACATGAGAAACATGTTGCACCTGAGCAACTGACCACGCCCTGGTCGTGTCCACTTCTGCATAGGGGGACAAACTCGCCCTTGGTCGTACACTTCCTTTCCTCTTGACACAGGTCTTGAAACCCAAGCATAATCTTGAAGACATGCTTTAGCCCACACAAAGCTGACATGTCATGACGTAACTGTTGAAAGCAGCATTTAAGCCAACTCACACAAAAAGTAAATACATAGTAAGCTCAACTCTTTGCAGTCCAGTCCATGAAACATGCCTTATACAACACACAGGAAAAGCTTTAAAAAAGACACCAAAGCCTCTGCTTTTTTATTTTTTATTTTCCTGCAAACATGTCTATAAACACCATGTGGGGCGGTCGGGTAGCCTAGTGGTTAAAGAGTTCACTCGTCACACCGAAGACCCGGGTTCGATTCCCGACATGGGTACAATGTGTGGAGCCCATTTCTGGTGTCCCCCGCCGTGATATTGCTGGAATATTGCTAAAAGCGGCGTAAAACCATACTCACTCACTCCATAAACAGCATGTACAATCTGCAACAGACTGCCCTGCACACCACCATACCCCATCACTTCTCAAAGTCTGGACACATCAGCAGCTACTTGCCATGCTCTCACGCCACACCTGAAATAGAAGACGGTACAAAGGAACCGCTACCTGCCACTGTATCTCAAGGGAGAACAAGTACATGAAGTAAGAAACTCTATGAGGATCTATTGCATGCATTCAGTTACATTCACTTCTTGACAAAACATTGATGTTAACTGAAGACCAGGCATATTCTATGACACTCTCCTACCCAGAGTACCTAGCCAGCATAGTACCTCTGCCACAGGCCAGCGCCATGTGACGATTCTTCACATCTTTCACAGTCCATTCAAGATATTGCATATGCTTTTCATCTGTTTCATTTTTGACACATCTACATATCTAGGTACACACGTCATAGAATGGTTAACTTTCATTGAGAAAATATACAAAATCGTGGAAAACTATTTCCATTTGCGTAGTTATCATATGTTTACATTGGTTGTACGGCTCCACATGCTGTCATTGAAGCCCTACGGAGAGCTAGCAATACGGTCACTTTGATGCATAAATATAAATTGTCATGCAACACACTGTCGCAGTTATACATTGTAGTAGCATATCTATATAATTATGCAAAACAATATGTAAAGCTACCCCAAATACTTTCATAAGCCTGTTCTATTCTGATTTCTGAAAAAGCGGGTTGTTTACAAACAAGAGAAAAGTCCGGTCACGTGATATGCAAATTAGCCTGTGGCAGTGGTGTTATGAATTAAGAATTTTGGAATTCACACCAGATGCACTATTTTCTGTTGCCCATACATGGGTAGCCAGTGGTTAAGCGTTGGCCAGTCACATGGTATGATTCCCCACATCCGTGCAAAAAGTGAAGCTCATTCTTGGTAACCTCAGCTAATTGTTTAAGGTCAAATGTTGCTAAAACTTGTGTTCCTAAAAAACATCAAGAAACTGCTTGTAATAAGACGTACACGCACTCACAGCAACATACTACTCAATGAAATTCTTCCTCAGTTGACTGTACTGTGACTGACCTGAGTAGCAGCTCGATGTACGATGGTGTGTCGGAGAGAGAGTTCGTCAAGGTCATTGGAGTAGCCTCCCCCTATCACAGTGGCACATGGGATACCCCTGGAGGCCAAGTGCTGCAGCACATAGTGGTCTCGGTCGTACAAACCTACAGACAGAAAGACGTCAACTATAACCAGAGTAGTCTACCCTTGGTGCAGCAGATTGTGGTGTCATCCGTGCAAGCCAACAGACGTTAACTATAAACAGAATAGACTCCCCTATCACCATGATCACATGGGATACCCCTGGAGGCAAAGTGATCTTGGTCGTACCAATCTCATTGAAAACAGATCTTTTACTCCGAAACCATACCTCTCTGCATAAGGTTCTGAGGTCCCACAGACAACATGTTAACCATAAACAGAGTAGCCTCCCCTTGTCATATTAAACTATGGAGTTGCTTCCCCTGGGAGTGCCAACAGGTGATGCTCATCCTTTACTTCCTTAAACCTTCATGTGCACGATTTGTATTTATTTAATTATTTCGGCAACACTAGCATATTCACTTGATCCCTATCATTGTGACATTATAAGGACGTTTGGACATGCTATCACCTTGATCTGTCATCTTGAGTTTCCCGAGTTCGTCCTTCTCATGGGGGTCAACGCCAGCATCATAAAGTACAAGGTCGGGCCGGAAACTTTTGACAATCCAGCCAAGGTGATCATCAAGTGTTGACAGATATTCTTCATCCTGAGTGCACAGACAGAGTGGAACCTCATTAATCCAGAAGTACACAGAGTGAAACCTCATTAATCCAGAAGCACACAGACAGAGTGAAACCTTATTGATCCAGAAGCACACAGAGTGAAACCTCATTAATCCAGAAGCACACAGACAGAGTGAAACCTTATTGATCCAGAAGCACACAGAGTGAAACCTCATTAATCCAGAAGCACACAGATAGAGTGAAACCTTATTGATCCAGAAGCACACAGAGTGAAACCTCATTAATCCAGAAGCACACAGACAGAGTGAAACCTTATTGATCCAGAAGCACACAGAGTGAAACCTCATTAATCCAGAAGCACACAGACAGAGTGGAACCTCATTAATCCAGAAGCACACAGACAGAGCGAGACCTCATTAATCCAGAAGCTCACAGACAGAGTGGAACCTCATTAATCCAGAAGCACACAGACAGAGTGAAACCTCATTAATCCAGAGGTACACAGACAGAGTGAAACCTCATTAATCCAATGTGACTGTTAACCTTCTTGTGCCTGACAAGGCAGCTTGGGTGTATACTCCCCAGGGAGCTGAGAATGAAAATTGGGTGCACACTAATCCATCGACCATTGTAATAATGTTGGTGCTTTGAGCATGCACCGAGTGTATGGAGGCTAGTACAATATAAGTACACACATTACCATTATTAAATCTAACATAGCCACATACCGTACAGCCGATATCAAGTCCCACATCGATATCACTTTGCTGCTTCTTGTGCGGAAAGTTATCCTGGCAATGCATTGAGAATGTGAACACACGCTTGTCATCCTTGAAGATATACGCTGTGCCATCACCCTGGCAACACAAAGATATCACGTGAGTGAGTGAGTTGAGTTTAACGCTGTATTCCAGTAATATCATGGCGTGTCAGCTTAATGTGGGAGGAAAGCCTGAAGTGATGTAGGTCTCAGACGTTTACCACTTCGGTGAAACCCATGAGCACAGGTATGGCGCTGACAAACCTAGAAACATAATCGGGGCAAAGCGGGATTCGAACCCAAAATCAAAGGATTCTGGCATGCCCAAGGGACGCAACTCTGCACTGCGAATTGTGGCGCCTTAGACGACTGGGACACCCGTGCTCCAGATATCATGTGACAAATATCTCACAGACTTGTATTGATAAAACATGAAACTGTCAGTGGTATGCAACTGGCATCTTGCTCCTTCAGCCATCTATTCACCAAATTTACAGGACATAAAAAAATTAATCTTGTAATAACCTTTAAAGGGGAACTAGGTTCTGGTTAATTGCCAGTCATAGCAAGTTTGATTAAAGTCACCAGGGTCCCGTTCAACAAAGCGATCGTAGCACTAAGACGATCATAAATCAATGTTGAAGCATGGGAGTTACAATCATCTTAGCGCTAAGATCGCTTTGCGGAACGGGTTCTAGAATGGTTATTTTGATTGGTTGATGATAGAGATGGCCATGTTACTTCGAAAAAAACACTAAGGTGGTGAATGGATAAATGGTATCTTATAAAATATAATGGAGATACAATACCCCAGATTATTGAGGATGGTAAAGGCATATCATTAATAAATAAATCTAAGTAGTTGTTGTTGTTAGGTTTGTTTACATTTTATGAGCACCAATGTGTACGCACTATTATGGTAAAATGTTCCCCAACAACGGAAATGACGTCATCACCATGAACCTCGTGTCAGTTACAAATAAATCATCATTCAAACCAGGCGTCTTTTGCTTAATGTTTCTCCCAGACCAGGTGCAGGTCATACAAATACACAAACATGATTTACAGTCCTACAAATACACTACATCTGTCACCAATATGTAGTCCTTCTTGAATGCAACCATGCGCACTAATAAACGTGCTTCGATACCGCCATTTCTACTGGGGTTGCTTATAGTAGAGATGGTGTCGCTACTGTGCCAAGTCACTACATGGACGTCCTGGAGGAAGCTAATTACAATAGTAATGTCATCAAACCAACTAAAAATACTGAGTCGTATACAGACTTTTTACCTGGTGTACATCAAGGTCTACAATGAGAACTCTCTCCACAAAGCCATGTTTCAGCATGTAGCTTGCAGCGACAGCCAGGTCATTCAGAAGACAGTACCCCGAGCCATGGGCAGGGAAGGCGTGGTGCGTGCCTCCCCCAGTGCTACACGCCAGGCCACGCTCCATGGCTGTGACAGCTGCTAGTATTGTGCCTGCTGAGAGGGGAAAATAGGAGCAAGGGAATGACTGACCCCTTGACTTGGGTAGTTATTGACATTTAAACTCCACCGTAATGTGTCATGACAAATGCATGTTGTGAGGTGTAGTGACCAAGTCAGTGGTTGATTTCCATCATTGGAGTGTGGATTATGGACAAAACAATGTAATGAGTGAGTGAGTGAGTTGGGTTTAATGCCGCTTTTAACAGTATTCCAGTTATATCACGGTGTGTCAGCTTAATGTGGGAGGAAAGCCTGAAGTGATGCAGGTCAAAGACATTTACCACGTCAGTGAAACCCACGACCATGGGTATGGTGCTGACAAACCTAGAAACATAATCCGGGCGAACCGGGATTCGAACCCACAATCATAGGTTTCTGGCGTGCCCAAGGGACGCAACCCTGCACAGCGAATGGCAGCGCCTTAGACGACTGGGCTACCCATGCCCCCAGAAATGTAATGAGTGACTTTACAATCAGAACAGTACTTGGCAACATTTCCGAGAATAATTTTAGATTATCTTCTGAACAAACACAGCCATGATGTATTTACCACACATATCAGGTTGTTATTTCTCTTTGTTCCCTAGTCTAGTCATCACACAAGTAGTACTTTACAGTCTGATGAATTAAATATGATTACAAATGAAGCTTCAGACACGGCAGAAACTCTTTCCGGCACAACTTCTATCATGCAGCTGTTTATTTGCTTTTATCATATTTATAATTTGGCAAAAAACAAATATATCAAACTTTTATTGATAACCATTTCTCTATTTTTATGATACCATTTCAGGGCTGTTCTCACCTCTTAATCAAGGTTCATCTAATTCCAGGAATTAACCAAACAGTAGCCCTCAAACATTGTTACAAAGAAAGAAGTTACTATCCATAACAGTTTCATGCCAATGTCTGGCATATGATTTCGCTTGCTCATCCGGAACCTCACCTGTTTCATACCTGCACCGACTAACGAGTCCCTCTGACCATTTGAATCCAGTGAATCTCTGTTCCTTGTCAGTTGTCTGCCCTTGGAAGAATCTGTTGATGTAGTCTTCTGTATGCACTGGTAGCAAGTCCTTGGGCTTCACATGCTCGGGCTGGAGGATTTGTTTGGAAGAGATTACATTGTCTCTTCTCAAATAACGCATCACCCCATGAAACTTTCTCATAGCAAATCGGTGCTTGATTGGCAGGTCGCTGACATAGCCATGGTGATGGATAATAGGTAAACCTTTCATTTCTGCCCTTTTGACCTGTAAACATAGAAAACAATCACTACAAATACCCTGGTAAGTTGAAATCACTATACTGTACACAGAATAGCAGTCAACAGTGTGCATGAAGAGTGGTAAAGATTTCTTGATGGACAGAAGGAGTCATAAACATACATTATTATAAACTATATTTCTGTGTAATCGTGTCAATAACACTCTACCGTGCCTTACATAATGGTACATTAAATAATACTTTAGTGGAAGATGCAACTAACAATTTATAGAACTGTTTCAATAATTTTTAAATGGCATATGTAGAAATCCTAGCTAAAACTATTCACATTTCACATCTTCCTCAGTCCAGGCTATGTGTAGCATGTCTAGGTTATTTCATTACTGATGAAGAGACACACAAACATAAACAGCAAATGAAAAATGTAAAGGATCATAAGCTGAGTTTATATGGTTAGTAATGACTTGAAGATCGTGAAGTTTTTTGTTGTTGTTTAATGCTGCACTCAGCAATATTACAGCTATATGACGGCGGTCTGTAAATAATCGAGTCTGGACCAGACAATCCAGTGATTGACATCATGAGCCTCGATCCACGCATTTGGGATACGATGACGTGAAACTAAGTCAGCGAGCCTAACCACCCGATCCCGTTAGTAGCCTCTTACGACAAGCATAGTCACCTTTTACGGCAAGCATGGGTTGCTGAGGACGTATTCTCCATCCGGACCTTCACGGGTCTTGTGATGGAAAAATCATGATGTGATGGAGCTAACAATTGAAATTAGTCACCTGACGAATCATCTCTTCAAAACCATCGACAGGTTTGATGTTTAATGCGTGTTTCAAACGCTTGAATGTCAAAAGAGACCTGTGTGTTTTCGAACATAGACATGTTGACTTTATCATGTCTTGTCTAGCTGATTCTGTGACAAAACTGACAAAGGTATTTAATTTAAACAATGCTCCGGAGCCACCTGTTGTCTATTTCAGATCTCAATACAAATAGGCTAATTAACTGCGGCCCCTAACTACGATTGAACAGTGATGCACGGTCAAGCAAAATAAATAGATACACGGAATCTTTTCTATCTTATCCAGTGACCACAAAAATATTCTGAAAAACACGTGTTTTTCTGTTTTGACATTCAACCGGAAGAGGAAATTGTAAAGTCTCCTCCAATCACGCGAGACCACAAATATATTTATAAACAAAGATGGTTTCCCTAACGTGCAGGGTTATATGATGTGAAGAATTAGTTTGACTGCTGCAAAGGTAACTGTCAGACAATGTTTGAAGTGATCAATGGTGATGGATAAACTTAGCTGCTTGTTAAATTTGTAACGACTATTACTGTTGTCTGCATGTCTATCAAGGTGACACTGACAGAAGGAATGTCAACTGCCACTGCCGGATCAGACATCACCTGACAACCTTGGTTAGCAGAAGCGGATCAGTGAACTGCCAGTGGGGAAAATAATAAATGACATAATAAAGTAGAATAAATTAATAACAGCGCTTTATAGTTGTTAATCAGTCATTTCATTAGTCGTTCATAAATATCCAAGAAGTTACAGGCATAACATATAAGTTATAGATTTTATCAATATGTTCTTTTTTTTCGAGGTGATCATGATCAGTATGGCAGTTGACATTCGTATTATCCATCTTTAAACCTGTATGATATGGAGATAATTAATACATTGTTTAAAAATATGGCTCTGAATCATAAGCATGTAGAGTTAAAAGTTGCGATGCACCATCAAGGTACCCTTGCATTGGCCTGGACACCTAGCCGAGAGCCACAATGTGGTCCGACAGTCAAGACACTACCCTACAATATGTCTTGACTGTTTAACCCAATCACAGCTCTCGGCTACCAGACACCTATATATCTGCCTTGTTTGTTAGATGCTGTTAATATAGTGGCATGTGAAAACATGACAGTTTTAAAAACAGGATGATGAGGCTAAAAATAAGCAGTAGAAATGATGCTGCTTGCATTTGTATGGTTTAATGTTATTAAGCCTAAAAAATAAATAATTGAAAAGCAAAGCAATTAATGCAAATCAAACTTGGACATCAACTTTAAAAACTAACTTGAAAATAGAAGTTCCACAATCGCATGTGGTAACCTCATGAGTGACATCCATAAGTGCCACATTTCAACAAACACATAGTATTTTTCATAGTCATTGCTAACTAAACACATAAATTATATATAAGGAATGAGCTCGTGCACATCTCTTGCAGAAATGGCTGAATGTGTCCAGAAAAGTGCGTTCTTGCCTTAATTACATATAAACCTAAATATATAAAAGCAATCATGCTGAGCATGATAGAAAGGAAGCTTGGTGAAAGGTAGTGTGGACAGTAGTTATCCTCATCATTTCTGGCACACTGACATTAACTAAAACATATGTCAACTAGTTGATGATACAGGTTTTCTTAAGTATCAGATGAAATATGCAGAATACAAGGAGCATGCACCTGTTCATGAATTGGTGATAAAAGAGATCAGCCTTCCACCAACCAGATGTTTCATTTATCCAACAGGCTCAACCTCATAACAGTCTGAAGATGTTGCGACCGCTGTGTCATGAGGCACAGTTGTTGTTGCACCAGGCTCTGCGATCTCAGCTGAGAGTTGGTGTGGGGCTTCAGCAGCGAATGGTTTCTCATCACTTGTGTAGAGGTGAGGAGGCTGAGATGATCACATCTTCTTAACCAACACTACTGATGATACTGATCTGATAGTCAGGGTTGCAGGTTCATTTATGTGGTTTATTGAGTTTATTTTCAGTCCGTCAGCGTTAACTCTTTGGAAGGGATATGTTGCTTTATTTCCTCGGGTGTTTCCTCATCAGTCTTGTAGATCACCTTAACATCTCCAATTTGAGCATGTGTCATCAAGACTTAAAATTTCGTCAGTCAATTTGTGCATCTGTGATTGGGTCTGTAGTTGGTCCAACTGTCCATTTCCATTACTACCACTGAAACTTTACATCCCTTTTTCCTCAAATCCTCTGAACCTGTCAATGTGATTTTCACGTATCACATTCTTCATGCACTAAGCTACAAAGAAGTAAAAGATTTGGTCTGTCATGCTGATCTACCTTGTTTGCTGGTCAAAGATGCACTGCTTTTGATCGTAAATTTTCAGACAGTTTTCATGTAATGTTCTTGCCTCCGTGTTCTAGTGGTAGAGAGTCTGCCCGATGAGCGGAATGTCGGGGGTTCGATCATCGGCCATATCATACCAAAAGAAGTTAAAAGAATGTACTTGTTGTTACCCTGCCTGGCGTTTTGCATTAAGGGGCTGGAAATAGTACTGGTTGGCTCAGAGTCAGTATAATGTGTCTGAGTGGGGTATTCATGTTACACTGCAGAATGGTATCTCAGTGGGCTAGCACCATAAAATCGGCATTAGTCTGGACTGGTACAAGCAGCACACACATACATACGTGTGTGCTTGCAGGTTGCTGTATAAGTGCAATGATCTTGAACGCGACACTAAACCCCATTTCACCTCACCTCACCTCACCTCACCTCATGTACTGTTCATGTTTTTGGTGAGAATAGTAAGTGAAGAAGGGGAGCATCCAGTAGGGTTACCATGGTTACTGTGATGTAGCAATCTTCTAAAGTTCCAGTGTCTACAGGCAAACAAACATGAGAAAACTTCTATCAACAGTCAATGCCATCTGAACCACAAAATGCAGTTGTTATATTACATTTAGATTGTCAACGTCAGTTCTCCACAACACGCAAATACATCAAGAAAATCCAGGGCACCTGGTCCCAGACTCTTGCCAACCTTGCACGCCAGCTGAGCTCGAGCACAGGAAGCAAGGATGGACCATCCGAACCGGGATCTTCTCAGCCCAAGATGGCTGCCCCCGCTGCGGGAGCCCAAACCCCATTGTCTAGTCCAAAGTCTCTCGATGGCTCAGGGGATACAAAGTCATCACAATCACAGAAGGTTTTAAAAGGTAAAGAATTGTGCATGTTGTGAACAGAACACCAGTTTTGGTGTGGAATTTTCAGGTGTGAAAAACAATGTGTAGATACTAAACTGAAAGGGATTTTGAAATGTCTTTGTTTACCGTTTCCCATGTTCAACTCCCAAATCACTTTAAGGAGTATCGAGCTCAACTTGGGCTACGTGATGCCTAGTGGTCATAGTCATGATAGTGGTAGGCATGTTTGGGCTATCAGAGCTCCAGATAAGCTGCGTATCTGCGTGAAATACGCATCAGAAATGCAGAAATACGCAGTTAAATATATTCCAAGCGTATCAAATACGCAACGAACATTACAGATACGCTACAAAAATAATATTTGTGCGTATCATCAAAATATTGTGAAGTAACCCTGCGTATTCGATTAGCAAATCAGCAACTTATTTTGAAATTATAAACGGGCATTTCGTCAACCTTGCCAAACTTCACGATGACAGTAACAGAAATTTGAATACGCAGATAGAATTACTGATACCCAATGATTTTAAAATGCATGGGTAAAATACCCACAACACCAAAAGCTTATCTGGAGCTCTGGGCTATTCATTTTATTGAAGTGTTTCTCCCTGGCTGAGAGATCTCAATTGTGGTTACATTTCGGTTCCAACAACAAGAGATTGCATTATATAAAATAAGGATAAGTATATAAATATCAAATATATCAGATATTAATAATTATGGCTGTGTAATTGTTTACCTGTAGTTACGCCCCGAGCAAGGAAAAAGTCCATCGACTACAGCTATACCGGCAATATCTACATCCTCCCCGTCAGAGCCATGAATGAATACCTCCTCAAACCAAGGTGAGTAAACAACATGATATACCGTATTCGACATAATAAGCGCCCAGGGCGCTCTCAAAGTTAGAAATAGGGGGCTCTTATTAGAATATTATTTTGGTGAAAAACAACAGAGTTGAAAGATCGTAAATTTCGTGGTTTATGCTAACAGCCTGAAATGTTTATATACGACAGATATATTTTATCCAGAATTTAATTTCCCATAATTATGAATGCATATAACATGCGTATTATACACGAATATATAAGTCCTGTGTACATTGATCAATCGGAAGGGGTGCTAATTGGGATTGTACGCTAGCCAATATATTAGAAAATATCGCAGTGGGCGCTTATTAGAGCGGGGCGCTTATTACGTCGAATACGGTAGTTGTAGGTGTCGTTTGTAAAGAAATTCTGGGAAATACAGAATTGATCTTCTGTAACCTGTGCTTGTTGTAAGAGGCGACTAATGGGATTGGGTGGCTAGACTCGCTGACTTGGTTGATGTCCGTTATTGTGTCCCAATTGTGAGGTCAATTTTCGTGAAGTCAATCACTGGATTCTCTGGCCCAGGCTCCATTTGTATTTTTTTTATTTACAGACCCCCATCATATAGCTCGAATATTGCTGAGTGTGGCTTTAAACAACAAACAAAGAGACTGTAATGAAATTCATGTAAATAAACATGAGATACATTAGGCTGTCTTCGTCTTCCATCCATGTTGATATGGCTACCATGGTTACAAGAGTTGTGAGGGGCGGTCGGGTAGCCTAGTGGTTAAAGCGTTGGATCGTCACGCCGAAGACCCGGGTTCGATTCCCCACATGGGTACAATGTGTGAAGCCCATTTCTGGTGTCCCCCGCCGTGATATTGCTGGAATATTGCTAAAAGCAGCGTAAAACCATACTCACTCTACCACTCCGCTCTACAAGAGTTGTGTAAATATGTGCACTAGATAACTGGACCAATCTGTCTCTTGTAATTGACACTTGAAAAGATTGTCTTTTCTCATTTATGTATACATGGTATAAGACTGCCAGTACCATCTTTGTTGTCCTCATGTCTGAAACTAAGTATTTGTCATTTCTTATCCAGTGATCTCGATGAGCTGCCAAAGTACTCACGGCGGAGTCCTTATGAGACAGGGCCAAAGATTGTTGTTTATCTGCGCTCGGACGTGGAAGATTTGTGAGTTTTGGAGTTAGCTAATCTTGTATTTATCCAAACTGCTATATTTGACTGTGAATGATTTTGTAAGTATTGTTTGTCATCACCAGGTAATACTGTTCTTGTTTGCTTAACGCCGCGATATGACTGGAATACTGTTAAAAGTGTCATTGAACCCAACTCACTCACTCACTCTTGTTTGCTTAAAGCCCCATCTGCGGTAGGAACTACCGCACTCCAGTGGGCGGAGCTTATACGAGTGATCTGACAGGTCAATATGACGTCATGATAACACACACATTTCATTGGTTATTGCGTAAACGGGTGACGTCATGTAAACACCCACCCACGTGGACCGTTTGACAACAAGGACGTAAGTTTTAATGGTAATAAATATCTATCAAACGATTCCAGTTGTTGGTCCCCCAGTGGTTGCCAAGTCCGGTGCTTGTACAAGATTTGCCCTGATCATAATTTTCTTAGTCTGCCAGCACTTTTCAATCTGTTATCAGTACAGATACCAGCATTCACGTATTATTACATTTCACAATTATAAAATATCCATCTGTTGATGTACTGCCCATTCTTGTAGTTGTATTTTGAGAATAACTAACAGTCTTCATGAAATTTCACATCATCTGACTGAGTGAATGAGTGATGTAAAATACAAGCCTTTGTACAAATAATCTGTGCTTTTTTAATTTTATGTAGGTTATTCTATGTATTACTCTTTGTCATTTTAAGACAGAAAATGAAGAAAAATGCTTGAAATGTCAACCCTCCAATGTATACAAGAGAATTTCACTTAACATGATGAAGATTATTGTTCAGTTGTGATGTCTTGAACAATGGATAACGTCCTAACATATTGTTCTCAAAAATGAAACTACTCATTAAGATCCAGGTTAGAATTGGTTTTGAGCAACCCATGCTTGTCGTAAGAGGCGACTAACATGATTGGGTGGTCAGGCTCGCTGATTTTGTTGATGCATGTCATCGTTTCCCAATTGCATGGATCGATGCACATGTCAGTCACTGCATTTTTAGACTCGATTACTTACAGACCGCCATCAAAAAGCTGGAATATTGCTGAGTGTCACGTTAACCAACAAACAAACAACAATAACAATAGTGAAGCAGCATGACATCATAACGTTTCAACTGACCAATCGGGGCAGTCGGGTAGCCTAGTGGTTAAAGCGTTCGCTCGTCACGCCGAAGACCCGGGTTCGATTCCCGACATGGGTACAATGTGTGAAGCCCATTTCTGGTGTCCTCCGCCGTGATATTGCTGGAATATTGCTAATACAGCGTAAAACCATACTCACTCACTCACTCACTCATCTGACCAATCAGCATGCAGAATGTTGAAAATCACTGAAATGCAAATGTAAAATTACCATGAAGTTGTGACACCCGATATTTCTACTGTTGGGCCAATGTGTGCACTATTGGATGTGACGCGTAGACTAGTTGTGGTATACCGTGTGTGTGTTGGCCTCCACAGGGCCGGGAGAGTGTGGGGCAGCCTGGACAAACTGAACAAGGAGAAACACAAGCTGCTGCAGGGGGACCGATGTGAGTGTAGAGCTGACGTGGAGACTTACAACTTCAACATTACTGCAGTCCATTCATTATGCATCACTAGTTATAGTCTGAATTTCTGTTAGTCTACTTCCAAGGTTTTAGGATCAAGATGAATCTGAAAATAGCTACATAATTACATGTTTATAAAGTGTATTCATCTTATTGCCGCTTAATTACATGTTTATAAAGTATATTCATCTTGTATGTAAGCCATAAGGAGTTATGTAAAAATTAACTATTTGGTAAATTTTATGATTTTTTAAATGTCCAATTGTTGACTAATATGTCAGATGTAAGAATTAACCTATTTTAGAAACAAGATTTAAGAGTTGTCTCCCCTTGTACATCTAGATGACGTGTTTGAGATGCGGCGCCTCATTGACCAACACAAACTACGAGTAGCAGCCATGTCAGAAGATCGACCTCCCACTGACAAAAATTACACAGTCGTTAGTCTCCTTTTTTCCTCCTAATCCTCCCTGTCACTTACTCGTTTCTGTTGTAATTGTGCAGAGTTGTGTCCCTTGGCTGAGCTAGGATCTGCTGGTCATGGGTCCTAATCCCAAAGTATCAGTTATGATTCCCATGGTTGCGGGTTTCACCTCAGTGGCAAATGTCTACAACCTGTGTCATTGTTTGGCTAACTTTAAGAACTTTATTTTCCTTTTAACAATGGGTGAGTTTGTTTTATGCTGTTTTTAGCAATATTCTAGCAATATCACAGCAGGGGACACCAGAAATGGGCTTCACACATTGTAGCCATGTGGGGAATTGAACCCAGGTCTTCGGCGTGACAGGCAACCCCACCGCCCCTTTCCCTTAACAATAAGTGAGAGTGAAAGTTGCATAGTAAACAGAATTAAATCTACTTGAGTAACATCATTGAATACACAATGATCATGTTAAAGGGGGACTAGGCTCGGACAAACTGACGGTACCAGCACATTTGATCCAAGTTGTTCAGACAGCACTTTCTTTGCCACTTGAATATAATTTTAGTATGTATATCAATGAAGCTGATAATGATTTCCCTAATTACACAGAGACAATGTGTAACTTCCACACAGGGCATAGTTTCATTGTTGAGACCTTGACTAAAAACTGCCAAAAGACTGTGAGCGTAGTCCCTCTTTAGTACAATGGTTACTTACTAATACTGTACCTGTGTGGATGTTGTCCACCTCCACTCCAGTGGGAGATGCTTGTATGTCTGTAAGCCTGGTAACACTAAATACTGCTGCTTATGTAAATATTTAGGTTGTGTACAGTTGGTAGGATTATTTATTTATTTATTTTTCAGAGGGAAATATTTTTGGAGAGTGGCACAGGAAGAGTTGTCATGTCAGCAATTTTTGTGTAAGTTTCAGGATAATTTTGTCGTCTTCCTGCCCTTTTTATTCAAGTTCTTGAGTCCCCTCTCATATTTGCTTGTTGTAAGAGGCAAGCTAAATGGATTGGGTGGTCAGACTGGGTGATTGTGTGGACGTTGTTCATAATATCAATCACAAGTTTGTCCAATCTCATTAAAATCAGGTCTTAGTTTTCGCTACCGCTATACAAAGATCTGAGGACATCCCATTACGGGTCACGTCAGAACGACCTTTCGGGACTTTGACCGACCAATGAAATGATTGACAAGAAATCGACATGGGCCAACCAGAAGGCAGCTTTCTCGAGCTTTACGACCCTAGTTTGAAACTGGTGACTACATGTCCAAACATATTTTGACGTATTCTCGATTAAAAATTAAAAACGGATTAAAAGAACATTCTGGAATGGCTTCTAGATGTCCTAGATTGTATGGATATAATCATAGAAACCCGTAAGTGTTGTTACCTCTGTTAAATCTTTCGAGGTTGCATGATTAGAAAACACATTCCAACTGTCACTTTCATGATCTGGTAAGCGACGTTCTGATTGGTTGGATGAAAGGTTGTTCTGACGTGACCCGTAATGGGATGTCCTCAGATCTTTGTTTAGCGTTAGCGAGAACTAAGATCTGATTTTAATGAGGTTGAAGTTTGTCTGTCCAAGGCTCAATGATTTACAGGCTGCTGTGGTATTGGCAGTGACCACATCATAATCTTGAGGCTCTTGAGAGTGATGTTAAAAAAATAATTTCAACTGTTTTGAGATAAGCATGAGATAATAACATTTTGTTCAGATTTTAGTCTTCATACTGATCATGCAGAAAGGTTCTGTCTAGACTTGCTACAGCTAACATCATCTATTGTTGTGTTTTCAGTAATGCTTTGAACAGCCTGATAAAACTTGTAGCATGGATCTTCACAGGCTCACACAGCATGTTCTCAGAAGTCATTCACTCAGTGGCCGACACAGTCAACCAGGTAGGCAAATATTGCTGTCGATAATCCCCACATCGTCAATACTGTCAACCAGGTAGGGAAATATTGCTGTCGATAATCCCCACATCGTCAATACTGTCAACCAGGTAGGCACATATTGCTGCCGATTATCCCCACATCGTCAATACTGTCAACCAGGTAGGCAAATATTGCTGTCGATTATCCCCACATCGTCAATACTGGGCATGTTCCACAAAGTTATCTTAACGTAACGCTGTTCTGATCTTAACTCACATACTTTTAACATAGACTTTAGACAGTTATGTTCTGAGATGGAACCGTGGAAGGTAAGTGTTGGTGTAAGTGATCCCACATATCAGGGCCCACTTGCACAAAGCGATCATAGCGCTAAGACTATTGTAAGCCTATGCTAAAGTATGGGAGTTACGATCATCTTAGCGCTAAGATCGCTTTGTGCAAGTGGGCCCAGGTGTTTTACACAGTCTTTTTGGGTAATGGCCTCTGTAAGTAGTTGGTACGACTTCAATGGAAATGCTGTATTCGTGTTTCCTGAGCTTAATGTTAACATCCAATGAGCTATGCTGTAGACTAATGCAGGGATAAAATGCACCAACAAGTTATAGTTGAATTTGTCAGTTGTGATTAGGGTCATCAGGTCTACGATGTCTCGAAAATATAATTTCCTATTCAGGTTATCCTGGCCTTCGGGCTGTACCACTCCATGCAGAAGCCAGACTCCGACCACCCGTAAGTAGGATATAAACATCTAAAACCTGCATCACTTCGGGCTTTCCTCCAACATCAAGCCGACACGTCGTGGTATAACTGACAAACTGGTCAAATGGGCATCAGACCAAACTGGTGAACTCACTCATGAACCTATGATGTCACCATAAGATATCAAGTTTCAAATGTCAACTGCATGTAAGCTAGTGAGTTTGGTTTAAAGCCTCTTTTAACACATTTATCGGTTATATCATGGTATGATCATCTGATTTGGGAGAAAAGCCGGACATGATATTTTTTTTCTTCGGTGAAATACATGATGATGAAACACTCTCAGAGGTCTTATGCAGATCCAACAACTGCTGGGACCTCCCAGGGACATTGAAACTTAGGGACTGGTCAATTACTTTAAGGGGGCGAGATTGGTGAGAACTGTGTCTAATTTTGCTGACACCCCCCATCCCATTTATGCATCACCCTTGCATGACCCCCACCCTATACTAAATGACCAGTCCCAGAATAATGTTCTAATGTTATAAGGGGCGGTCGGGTAGCCTAGTGGTCAAAGCTTTTGCTCGTCACGCTGAACACCGGGTTCAATTCCCGACATGGGTACATTGTGTGAAGCCCATTTCTGGTGCCCCCCGATGTGATATTGCTGGAATATTGCTAAAAGTGGCGTAAAACCATACTCACTCACTCTTAGTTATGATCCATATCTTATTTATTTTAAAAGATAGAACTGTGTCATTTTTTCACCTTTTTTTTTTACTCCCAGTCAGATGACTGTAGCTACATCCCTGCTTTGTCTGTTGCAGGTATGGGTTTGTCAACCTGAGACATATTTCATCCCTGATCAGCGGTGTGGGCATCTTTTGTCTGGGTTCAGGCCTGTCCTGTTACCATGGCATCCAGGGTTTTCTCCATCCAGAACAGCTTGGCTCTATGTACTGGGTACGTCTATGTTCAGGCTGTCTTGAAACAGTGTGCCTGATGTTTGTTTGAAGTAATGAAGAATGCATGAGAATCAAGACCATGACGAAGCGGCAAGTTGTTCTACTTCTGTAATCAACAGATTTGAGAGATTACTCTAACTTAAACCTTGTTGTGGTTCATATATAATTTCTCTAGCACTGTGCGTAATGATCTACTTGTTAAAATGCAAGTTCAGAATGGCCAGTGAATTCCTGGCTCAGAATCAACTGCAACAACAATGATGTAATGATCTAATCATAATCATTGAAAATTCTATCTTCTGTCAGTGCATGGGTTGTATAACATATATAACATGTATAAGGCACTGTAACTCTCTGTTTTGAGTTATGTCCCTTAGTTGTGCCAGGGTGGGATGGTTGTGAGTCAGCATCATGCTGATGTGTTTTTCTGAAGTGGTAAACACTTACAATCAGTGTTCGAAATAACACCTGCCCATTTGTCACAATAAGCTGCACGTATAGAATGAGGGCCTGAAGAGTTTAGTCCGGGCCTGCAGCTTCTAAAGTCTAGGGGTCCTGATGGCAGCCTGGTATTTTCTTTGTATTTCAGACACTGCCTACAATCAATCCATTTCGCCTTTCCTCCCACATCATGCTCTGAAAAAACTGAATTATTATCCATAGTGAAGTCAGCTCACATTGTTTACAAAAATGTACCCTGGCCAAAAATCAAAATCTGGTCATATAGACATATACCCTGTGTGACTACTGCATATCGCTGAAGCCATTGGAAGATTTAATTTGATATGTGTGCATCCAGTTCCTTTATTGTCTTCCAGACTGTGGATAAATCAATCAGGTCATACTTTCCTATAAAATCCATATCATATTTTCTTGCAATTATATATTCCCGCAGCATGGAAAAATTTCTAGTACCAGTGAAACTTTAACAAGGATCAGCTGAATCAGGTGTCAATAAGCTGCCCTGGGATTAAATAAGTTCATCTTCATCTAGATATAGAAAAATATAGAAAAATAAAGAAAATTCAGCATAGTGTTCAGAGTATTTCAATGAATGTGTCCATTTTTGCAGTCCAGCAGCATTAGTTGAGTACAGTAACCATATTATGTTCTTGATTATATTCCAGGCTCTTGGGACTTTAGCAGCTGCCTTTGTTTCTGAAGGAGGTGAGCCTACTTGACATTAACTTTTGCAGACAACATAAAAACAGTACGTGACTGACAATATTCAGTGGTCAAGGGTGATTATGGCAATTGGAGTAGTGACTGGTGTTAGGGTACACAGATCAGGGACCAGCAGTGAAGAACAACTCTCAGCTGGGAAATTGTTCATCATCATGCTTGCATTATTCTATCAACCAGTGGGCTCAAGCTTCTTTTCTTACTATAGTACCTCCATAGTCTTGCAAACTAGGGTGAAACCCTATTCAATCACTTGACTCAGAGTAAATATGGCACGAACGAATCAGCAAAAGTCTGTTTCGGTCATGTTGGTAATGAGTAGGCTCGTCTGTAAAAGTGTCTGATATCTTGTCCACAGTATCTCAGGCAGAGTGACTCATGAATTTAATAGTCCTGAAAAGATCCGGGTAGAAAATAGGTCCTCAGCAACCCATGCTTGCCGTAAGTGGCTACTATGCTTGTCATATGAGGCGACTAACGGGATTAGGTGATCAGGCTCGCTGACTTGGTTGATGCATGTCATCGTATGCCAATTAAGTAGATCGTTGCTCATGATATCAATCCCTGGATTGTCTGGTATAGACTCGATTATTTACAGACCGCCGTCGTATTGCTGGAATATTGCTAAACAACAAACAAACAAACATGAGTATGATACATGGGGGTTAAGCAGCAAGGATCAACATTGGGTAGAGTGTGTGTATTGGAAGTACAGAAGGTTATTGTGTTTCAGCAACGCTGCTTGTGGCTGTGAACCAAGTGAGGAAGAAAAGTCGAGCCAAGAACATGAGGTTCTGGCAGTATGGTAAGTAGGATTGGGCATCATGTGGCTTTCTTAGGTTAAAGGACAATTTAAAACTCCTGTATATGAGAGTTTACTGCATCATGATCACTGATAATGACAACAGGATTCTTACTAGTTCAAAAATTGATACCACATCTGTCACAAAATATTAAATTGACAATTTGGTATCAGGATTACTAGATTATGGATCATAACATGTTCGAAGCATCATTATATTTTTCTGACTTTTTCATCTGTGTCAGGGTGACACCCAAACACTGATACCAAGATATCCAAGATGCATTCCAAGTCTGTACAGCAGATGTTACCGAAGACGTAAAGTTCTGTTGACAAGGCTGGTGCATTCCGAGTCTAATTTCTGTGTGACCTGCCCATGTTTCAGTGCAGGGTGGGTTTGACCCCAATGTGAACGTGGTGCTGCTCGAGGACCTCGCTGCCGTGGTCGGGGTAGGCATAGCAGCGGCATGCATGGGCATCACACACTACACCGGCAACCCCTTCGCTGACTCCCTCGGCTCCATGTTGATTGGTGGCCTTCTCGGGGTGGTTGCTACGTTTATTATCACCACAAACACAGAAGCTCTGGTTGGCAGGTACTGTAGAGTTTGTATCCTTTGAGATGTCTGTGATGTGAAGTTGATTTGATTCAATACTTTTAATAGCTGATTGAGGGGATTATTATCCCCCGCCACAAAGTGGTAGGGGGATCAAGAAATGGGTGCTATCCATATGCCCTTCCGTCCATCATGTTTTGTTTCTGGAGCAGAACTCAAAAGCCATGAGAGATATCTTAACCAAACTTGGCACACGGATAGGTGCAGTTGTGAACTAGTACCTTTTGATAGTTTGGGATTTTTGAAAATCGGTAGTGTTCATTTCCAGAGCAGATCTTGAAAACTGTACAATATTTCTCACCTTGCACACAACTGGACATGTCAAATATTGGGCGGGCATATGATTATTTCACTCTTGTTTCATAATTTCTTTGTAACTGAGACTGTCTGGCTTGCTTGATGTTGTGTGTTTCTGCTCGCAGGTCCATCCCACAGACACTGAAGCAGCAGATTAGCCAGGACCTGGAGAGTGACCGCATGATTAGGTGGGTGTCATTTCATAATTAGATAGGTGTTATCTCATGATTAGGTTTGTCTTATCTCATGGTCAGGTAGGTGTTATCACATGGTCAGGTGGGCATTATCACATGATTGGGGAGGTGCTATGTCATGGTCAGATAGCAAGCCCCTCACAGCGATAGCCCGTTCCCAGAACTCTCAATACTATCGCTGCCACCAGTCAAAACTCCCTACTGTGATGGGTGGCGACAACCCTGCTTGGAGTTATGTTTATTAACAAGTGGCGACTGTCTTGACGCCGAATACACTTACCCCTGCTAAATTACTTTCTTTGTTTGTCAATTTGAATTCTATTTCATTAAAACTATCATGTAATTGATGTAGTAAGAATGTAAGGGAGAAGTTGATTTTCTGTTAGTCTGCAATCTCGAAGCAATCTGATTATACAAACAACAAAGTAATTTCATCTGGAAAACATGGTCCATCGTAAACCTTTCCAAAATGAACTATCATGGCATTCACAAAGACATAAACAAAAGTATAAATGTTACTACATTTGGGGTTAGAGGGTAAATTTCAAGATTCTTGTAATGGCTGCGCACCACACTAGTGGCAGCAATGTTACCGAGAGTGTAGCGAAGGTGTTACACACTGGGAAGGAAGTTGGGTCAGATAGGTGTTATCACATGGTCAGGTGGGTGTTATCACATGATCGGGGAAGTGCTATATCATGGTCTGGTGGGTGTTATAACTTAATGAGATGGGTGTTATCTCATGCTTAGGGAGGTGTTCTTACATGGTCAGATGGGTGTTATCACTTGATTTGGTGGATATCAGCACCATATCAATTTGACGCTAGTATGTATTTAGTGTTTGTGAAGCTACTTGCCTCAGATGCACATAACATTTGATGTGAGACCAGTTGCTCTCCCTTCTGTAGGTCGCTTCATGATGTGAAGGCCACTGACATGGCCGGCCAGGTGAGGTTCAAGGCTGAGGTGGACTTTGATGGAAGGGAGATAACTCGTGCATACCTTTACAAGCTGGACCTGGAGCAGCTGCTTGCAGTGCGTTCTCTTTGCAGTGTTAAAACTTGATATGAAAATTATCTTTAGAATTCAGAAAACTGTGTTACCGAAAACATTCGATGTAGTGTGGTTTTATCATTCCTGTTGAAATTGGTTTAAAATCGTCTTCCATGCACTTGTTAGAGGTGAAACGATACAACAAGGTCACAATACAAATAGTATCACATTACAAAGGTCGCGATATGATACGTATCACGATATGCATATTTATGTCAAATTGTGTGGAAATGTCTTGACTATAAATATTTTACAAAAGGAAAAGCTAGCTGTAGACACGTTCGTTGTGGCTATATTTTCAGTAGTGAACTTAATTCCAACATATTTTGCAATTTATTTTACTGACAAAAACCAGGTTATCGTCTTGTATCGATACAGAATAAAATGTATCGTGTATTGTATCGACGCATGAAAACTAGCGATGCACAATGCACCAATGTATCGTTTCACCTCTGGCACTTGTTTGAAAAAAATGTCTGTAAAACGAGGAATTATTGTCAGTTAGACGTAAGCTGTGCTCACATGGCAGAGTTACATCCGTTGGCTGCTGTGGCTAGCTTCATGGGTTCACAGATTCTACCCCATTACGATGCTTGATAGTCAGCACCTGTATTTACTGGACCAGTGCAGATCCGGGATAGAATAGGGCTTCAGCAACCCATGCTTACCGTAAAAGGTGACTATGCTTGTCGTAAGAGGTGACTAACAGCATTGGGTGGTCAGGCTCGCTGACTTGGTTGATGATGCATGTCATCGTATCCCAATTGTGTGGATCGATGCTCATGATGTCAATCACTGGATTGTCTGGTTCAAACATGATTATTTACAGACTGTCGTCATAAATTTGGAATATTGCTGAGCAAAACAAACAAACAAAAACAAACAAACTGTATTTATGGGGTACCCAAGGTGGTAAGATATTTAACCTGCATCACATGGGGCTTTCCACCCACATCATGCTGACACAATGTGATACAAGTGAACCACTGATCTGCTAGGTGTGTAAAAGACGAGTCATGGTACAGTATTGTGTGTTTGGTGGCTGCAGGAGATGCGCGAGCTGCAGAAGGTCGAGGACGTGGAGGGCTTCATGTTGAACCATGGAGAGAAGATCATCGACCTCCTGGGGGAGGAGGTCGACAGGATTGAAAAGAAACTGAAGGTAACTATTGCCTGATACAAAGTGTCCACAGTGAACACAGTGAAGTTTTGGATAGATTCTGTACCCAGGAATTCAGCTCGGGTACCCTTTCCCTACATGGGTACATGTCTAAAGCCCATTCCTGGTGCTCCTCGTCGTCATATAGCTGCAATGTTGCTAAAAGTGGCGTAAAACCCAACTCACTCACTCTTGGAAATGTTCTAAAATGACCAGGGGGTCACGGATGACCCAGTCGTCTAAGGCCCCGCAATTCGCTGTGCAGAGTTGCCTCCCCTGGACACGCCAGAAACCTATGATTGTGGGTTCGAATCCCGGTTCACCCCGATTATGTTTCTAGGTTTGTCAGCACCATACCCGTGCTCGTGGGTTTCACCGAAGTGGTAAACGTCTGAGACCTGCATCACTTCGGGCTTTCCTCCCACATTAAGCTGACACGCCATGATATAACTGGAATAATGTTAAAAGCGGCGTTAAACCCATCTCACTCACTCACTCACTCTAAAATGACCAAGACATTTTTTTAGGAAAATCTCGGCTCTTTTCACATGTTTTTTCAACCAAATTGTCACATGTATGCTGAAATATCATGACTTTTATCAAATATATGTCATTCATTACGATATTTTCAAGACAAGCTCTGATTGCAGAAAACCCATCCCCAGTTGAGGCATGTTGACCTGGAGGCGTTATGAGACCAAGGGGAGATAATCTAGTCAAGAGTGGTTCAGCAAGAGGACTAGTGCAATCTTAGACCGCCCATTCCACAAAGCATGAAGCCAGTGACACATGTCGTACATGGTGCCTCCACCTGGTGCTTGTATCAATGGCACCACACTGATCCAGATGGGCACACTCACCTCAATCCCATAAGTCACCTCGGCCAGCGTTGGGGGCTGGGGGGAATTCGTATGGAACTACCAGTAGTTTCGGTCATGTGACGGTCACATGACAGAATACAATCTGTCTGCAATCTTGACACTAAATCAAATGTTGGAATTTGGAGAATTTTTTTTTCTCAAAATTAAATAATTCTTTGCCTTTCCTGGTAATTTGTGTGAATCATACGATAAGCTGTTTTATGATGTGTTATACAGCTTACTGCACAGGGATTTTGTGGTACAGAAGGCAGTGGTGTGGACAGTACACTGGGCTGTTCAAGGTGTGAAGTAGGCAGCCAAAACAGCAGAGTGGACCCAGAGAGATAGTGAGGGGACCACACTGTTGGAGAAGGTTCAGCTGATGAAATACTCCCTCACAATATACTTCAACCTGTGCCCACTTAGGCTAGGGGCACAGTCTTCATTTTAACTTTCTCAACAGCACCTTTTTCTTGTGAACTCAATGTTGTTTAGGGGGTATTTAAGATTGGATCGTCCAATTGGATGATTAAGGTGAGAGAACTCCTGACAAGGCAAATGACAACTTTAGAGGCTATCATGATAAATATTTATATCAGGACGGCTAACAACTGCAATATATGTAATATTTACCTGTATGCCAAATCCATGTGCCATAACTGTTGTGGTTCTCACTTTTGTGTTAAGTCTTGCTTTTGGATTTTCTTTTCATTCTTGATTCTCACAATGAAGGAGAAAAAACACAATACAGCACTGCAGGGAGAATAAACCACGAGGGGTACAGCTTATATGAGATATCAACATTGTGTATAGCCTCTTTGATGGTGTTGATAAAATGTACACGCTTTAAAAATATTTACCCTAAATTTTGATAATGATGACTCTCTCAATAGAATCCTACCTCGGCAATGTCGGACAAGTGCATTTTATGCACGTGTGTATTTCCTGTATATTCTCACAATCCTTTCGTCGATTAGCTGAAGCTGTTCTCCCAATGACAATCATCATATCTCTCCCGCTTCTGGATATGATCTTTCAGCCATCGTGTTTATCTGCGTGGCCCAGCTACATCTATGGGGAACAACTCACCAGATACTCCCCTCTCACAAATAACGTGTGCGCATGTTTGAATCTCCAGAAATTATGTCATGATAGAACACTGTTTTGGCATGAAATAAACCACACTTCATTGTTCTTTGCGATTTATCTCATTAGCTATCTTATATAGTCAGTTAATGCCATTGACTGGCGAAGATTTGCCTATACATGTATATGAATAAGAGATGTTATGCAGGGAGAATAACTGTTTATTACAAGGCAAGTAGGCTATTAGGTATATTTGTCAGTTCATGTCAGTTCTTGAACTATATGTAGGCTTTTGAAATAATCCTACTTTTTACTTTCAATCAAATCAGATTTTGTTATATGTATTGATCATTTGCACAGTTACCGTGTGATGGTAGTTGTTGTTCAAAGGACATGTAAGCATTTAAGGAGAGTTGTCGATCAGGATAGAGGACCAGTAGATGTCCACACAAGACTTTCATGAGCAAGTGCAGGGGCACTTCGGATGTTTGCCTTCTCCCGATACCCTTTTGCTGTGAAGGAAACATTTTGTAACTATTTCTGTGATTGAAGTGGCATTATCCAAGGTGGTTGTACGTCCCAAGGAGGTTGCTGTGGACATTGTGGAGTCTTGTATGTGATGTGAAGAGACTGTGCCTGCTATTTTAGGAACCATTCTGTTGCTAGTATACATGGCTTCATTGCCATGATCGTTGCTGTTTGTTATGGATGCACATCTACGCCAGTGTACATACAACTATGCATGACTAGAGTCCTCCCTAGCCTTGCTGCAGGGGTGGCAGTTAACCCTTCCTTCATATGGGTGGAGTGATCAATCTCAACATTCTCCTAATTCCATGAATGTTTGATCGAAATTATCTTGCAAAATTTTATCTCCATTTTGTTGTGTTTTGTTTATTTGTTTAACACTGAACACCACAATATTTCAGCTGCATGAAATCTGTAAATAACCACGATTCTGGACCAGACAATCCAGTGATGACATCTACGCAATTGGGATAAGATGACATGCATCAAGCAAGTCAGCGAGTCTGACCACCCGATCCCGTTAGTCACTCTTTTGACAAGCATGGGTTGCTGAAGACCAGTTCTAGCCTGGAATCATGGAGACATTCCATTGCTATACATGTATATACCCAGGACCAGTTCACAATCCTCTACATCACTTTGCCAGAAGCAGAATTTGTCTTGCAATTTAGTGTAATTTGATTGGATGGCTGTGTCATTTGAATCAGACTCAAAACTATAGTAGTGAATGGACTCAGGTACATGGAGTTAGCATCATGGAATGGAGATTATATACCCTGGATAATAGGAGATCATTAAGTGCTCCTTTCAGCTGATTTTGTGAAGTGAAGCTGCCATCCTAGTGGTAAAACAGACTAGCAAAGACTATACAGACAAAAGTACCGTTTGGTTAGTAGTGTTGAGGAATGTCATGCATTGTGATGTTATGTGCTATGTTCATTCCTGTGCCGCTGAAGTGCTTTATGTGTCTTCGTTAAGGCCAGACCAAGTAACTGTTTGACAGATTTTCTAACTGAATACGAGTGAGTGAGTAATTGAAATAACTCAAGAATTGACATTATATTTTGAAAATATTTATAGATAATCAGTGTAGTTGTTTTATTTTCCTCAGAAACATGAGTTAGAACAGCACTTATTTCACTATAAATATTTTTGGTGGACAGTTTTCTTTGAAATTTTTTTATTTATACTTATTGAAAACTTTGGATCATGGTTGATCTTGTCTGATCATTACAGCTATATCTGTATGTCATGACCTGTTGCCAGAGGAATTTTGAAACAAACCTTTCTTTTTTTCCCCAAACCACAAATGCATGTAGCTGTTTCTTAATTTTGTAATTTTATTAATTGATCTCGGTCTTGTATGACAGTTTCCCCTTTACTGATTGCATTTTTTATTTATTTTCTATACTATTAATGATGCTATGTATTATAAGTCTCCATGTGAAATGTGCTTGTTATGGAGTTTTAGCTTGTTGCCATGTCATATATCCATGTTGAAAGTCACCATACTGAGATACATAAAGGAGAGTACTGCATCATGTCTTTGTGTTATCATTCACCAAGTGGGGTAGCCTAGTGATTAAAGTGTTCACTTGTCACACCGGAGGCCTGGATTTGATTCCCCACATGGGTACTGACATGCAGTGGGTGTTTTAAAAAACGCAACAAATATTATGTGGCTGCTCTCTATCAAAGCATGACTGAACAGTGACAAGCCCAGGGACAGAGTTCACTGCGGCATGCCTTTGCGCACACAGCCGATGCGCCACATGTTGCTGTCCAGAACAACACCACACCTGAACAAATGGTGCGTTCGTGCGTTTGTTTTCAGTGTTTTGGAATGGTTTGACGCCTTCTGTCCAGGTACAATGTGTGCAGCCTATTCTGGCATTCCTCACCATGATATTGCTGGAATATTGCTAAAGCAATCTCATTAAAAGGACATCCCATTACGGGTCACATCAGAACACAAATTTTGACCGAACAATGAAATGATTGACTTTGGCCAATCAGAAGGCAGCTTTCTTGAGCTTTATGACACTAGTTTCAAACTCTTCGAAACATATTTTGACGTAATCTCGATTAAGAATTTTAAAACTGATAAGAAGAACATTCTGAAATGGCTTATAGATGGCCTAGATTGTATGGATATAATCATAAAACCCGTAACTGTTGTTCGGAATACCCCGTGTTAAATATATCGTGGTTGCATGATTAGAAAACACATTCCGACTGTCACTTTCACGATCTGGTAAGCGACTCTCTGATTGGTTGGATGAAAGGTCGGTCTGACGTGACCCATAATGGGATGTCCTCAGATCTTTGTTTAGCGATAGCGAGAACTAAGATCTGATTTTAATGAGATTGTTGCTAAAGCAGTGTGAAAATATACTCACTCAGCAAGTAGAATAAAGAATAAAGTATGACCAAGTACATTATAGCTAAAAGTATGTTTTTAACTAAGTACATTACAGCTAAAGGTGTGTTAACTGAACAAGTACATTACAGCTAAAGGTGTGTTAACTGAACAAGTACATTACAGCTAAAGGTGTGTTAACTGAACAAGTACATTACAGCTAAAGGTGTGTTAACTGAACAAGTACATTACAGCTAAAGGTGTGTTAACTGAACAAGTACATTACAGCTAAAGATGTGTTAACTGAACAAGTACATTACAGCTAAAGGTGTGTTAACTGAACAAGTACATTACAGCTAAAGATGTGTTAACTGAACAAGTCCATTACAGCTAAAGGTGTGTTAACTGAACAAGTCCATTACAGCTAAAGGTGTGTTAACTGAACAAGTCCATTACAGCTAAAGGTGTGTTAACTGAACAAGTACATTACAGCTAAAGGTGTGTTAACTGAACAAGTCCATTACAGCTAAAGGTGTGTTAACTGAACAAGTCCATTACAGCTAAAGGTGTGTTAACTGAACAAGTCCATTACAGCTAAAGATGTGTTAACTGAACAAGTACATTACAGCTAAAGGTGTGTTAACTGAACAAGTACATTACAGCTAAAGGTGTGTTAACTGAACAAGTACATTACAGCTAAAGGTGTGTTAACTGAACAAGTACATTACAGCTAAAGATGTGTTAACTGAACAAGTCCATTACAGCTAAAGGTGTGTTAACTGAACAAGTCCATTACAGCTAAAGGTGTGTTAACTGAACAAGTCCATTACAGCTAAAGGTGTGTTAACTGAACAAGTCCATTACAGCTAAAGGTGTGTTAACTGAACAAGTACATTACAGCTAAAGGTGTGTTAACTGAACAAGTACATTACAGCTAAAGGTGTGTTAACTGAACAAGTCCATTACAGCTAAAGGTGTGTTAACTGAACAAGTCCATTACAGCTAAAGGTGTGTTAACTGAACAAGTCCATTACAGCTAAAGGTGTGTTAACTGAACAAGTACATTACAGCTAAAGGTGTGTTAACTGAACAAGTACATTACAGCTAAAAGTGACCCGTGAAGATCCAGAGTAGAATAGGTCTTCATCAACCCATGCTTGCCATAAAAGGCGACTATGCTTGTAGTAAGAGGGTGGTCAGGCTCACTGACTTGGTTGATGCATGTCATTGTATCCCAAATGCATGGTTTGATGCTCATGATGTCAATCACTGGATTGTCTGGTCCAGACTAGATGTTTACAGAATGCCGTCATATAGCTGGAATCCAGTGATTGACAGCATGAGCATTGATCCAAGCAGTACAGATACGATGACATGCCTCAACCAAGTCAGGGAGCCTGACCACCCCGTTAGTCACCTTACGACAAGCATAATCGCCTCTTATGGCAAGCATGGGTTGCTGAAGACCTATTCTACCCTGGATCTTCACGGGTCTTCAAATATGTGCACTATCCATCTTAAGGCTGTAAATGTAGGATAAAACATGTCCTTGGGTTTTTATGGGAATAGAAGGCCCATCTCATACAAAAACTGAGAGGATGTGTTTTATTTTACTTTTGAAGTGAATGAAAAGTCTGAATGAACATTTATCAGCCATTTTATTTTTCAAACATGCTTTCCATGAACCTTAGGAAATGGATGTAAAATATCTCTTGCTGGCATACATGTACTTGAAAAAGACATTCTTACAAGCATTGAGTGCCTCAGTAGCCTAGCAGTTCACACACAAGGCTTTTGTCAGCACCTTACCCTTGCTGCTGGGTTTCACCAGAGCGGTAAACGTGTGATGCAGCTCACCTGCATCACTTCAGGCTTTCTTCCCACATATGGGGGCGGTCGGGTAGCCTAGTGGTTAAAGCGTTCGCTCGTCACGCCGAAGACCCGGGTTCGATTCCCGACATGGGTACAATGTGTGAAGCCCATTTCTGGTGTCCCCCGCCGTGATATTGCTGGAATATTGCTAAAAGCGGCGTAAAACCATACTCACTCACTCACTCTTCCCACATATAGTTGACACGCCGTGATATAACTGAAATAATTAGCGGCGTTAAACCCAACTCACTCACCAACTCACTGTTGTCACATCCCTGTATATGAGGTTTAACCTGACTGGAGAACCATGAAAAATTTAACATTCCCGTGTCAGGGAAAACTGAAATTTGTTGATAAAAAAACAAAGCAGATGACAATAAAACCGATCGCATAAACGCATCACGGCAAAGGCCATGGTAACCCGATGTATGCGAGTTCTGTGCCAATTGAAATGCACATGCGTTCACCCATTTCTTGCCCTATAAAAATCCACCCTGATCGGATAGCATTCATTCCTTATTGAATTGCTACCACAGGCCAAGATTGACAAGAAATCAGCGACACCAAGCCCTTTGACGATTGCAAGCTGGACAAACCGCCCGGCATGTAGCCAATGCATTTCAAGACCACGTAAGGACCATATACAGGCTCCAGCAACGGTACCATGCAGACCACCAACACTACAGATGGCCGACCACGTAGTGGAAGACCAAGGGTCACTACCCGACGTCTGGGTCGTCAGATTGTGCGACAGCATCTTCCAGATCGCTTTGTTACTGCTGCGGAAACTGCTCGACAGACCATGGGGACACACCAGCGACACATTAGTGCGGACACCGTGCGTCGACGATTGACGAACAGACGAGATTCAAAGACGGCTGAATGACGTCCGACCAAGGCTGACAACTGCAGCTGAACTGCGTCAGGCGTTCCTCAGAGTGTGGGCTCAAGTGCTAATGGCCTTCATCAACCGTCTCATCCATTCCGTGTATCGACATTGCACGGCAGTCATCAATTCCAATGGCCGACACACGAGATACTGACTTGTGATGCCATTTTCTCAGAGACTAGCGTTGTGTTTCACTTTTAGAACATTTGACACTTAAATTTCAACCTTGATGATCAGTTTTGCCAAGTTTCATCTTTTTTATATGTCACAAAGTATGTTTACAGTGCAAATAAGGTTTCTCATATAGCTATCCATGGGGACGTTTCTTTTGCGGTTCAGTATATGTTCTTGCATCTTGATCGCGGTGTGAGAACCGTTTCAGTTCTCATGTCACAGATTTTCACCAAGGAAACAATTACAACACTGTAATCCACTTAGTGTCAAGACATGACAAGAGTGCTGTCAGTGCAGGATAACAAGCAAGTAACTGGACGTTTGTAACAAGTACAATATGAGCCAGCAAGTATCATTATTTGGTGTTTGTTTTGTGTCTATTGTTTAACGACGCACTCAGCAATTTTACAGACGGTGGTCTGTAAATAAGCAAGTCTGGACCAGTCAATCCAGTGATTGACCTCATGAGCATCGATCCACGCAATTGGGATACGATGACATGCATCAACCAAGTCAGCGAGCCTGACCAACCCATCCCGTTAGCCCCTCTTACGACAAGCATAGTCGCCTCTAACAACAAGCATTTTTATTTATAATGAATGTCCCGTTACATGTGTCTTATCTGACTTAAGAAACAGGATAAAAGTGACAAAATACTGTTTAATCAAGTTTAAAATACAATCTAAAAGTATGAATAACTCAATACAATAAATCGATACAAATATGCAAAATGTATGCAGTACTGTAATTTGTTCCTTGGAATTGAATTCATGTATAAATGATTTGGTTCCTTCCTGCCTTGTAGATGTTCCCAGGGATACACCTAACATTTGACCCGTGGTGTAAAGTTCTGGTCAGGGCTGGGTTCCAACCTCATGAACTCTATTGTTTTTACACTTACTTACAGAGTTTTTACACTTACTTACAGAGTTTTTACACTTACTTACAGAGGTTTTACACTTACAGAGTTTTTACACTTACTTACAGAGTTTTTACACTTACTTACAGAGTTTTTACACTTACTTACAGAGGTTTTACACTTACTTACAGAGGTTTTACACTTACTTACAGAGGTTTTACACTTACTTACAGAGTTTTTACACTTACTTACAGAGGTTTTACACTTACTTACAGAGGTTTTACACTTACTTACAGAGTTTTTACACTTACCTACAGAGTTTTTACACTTACTTACAGAGTTTTTACACTAACTTACAGAGTTTTTACACTTACTTACAGAGTTTTTACACTTACTTACAGAGTTTTTACACTAACTTACAGAGTTTTTACACTTACTTACGGAGGTTTTACACTTACAGAGTTTTTACACTTACTTACAGAGTTTTTACACTTACTTACAGAGTTTTTACACTTACTTACAGAGTTTTTACACTTACTTACAGAGTTTTTACACTTACTTACAGAGTTTTTACACTTACTTACAGAGGTTTTACACTTACAGAGTTTTTACACTTACTTACAGAGTTTTTACACTTACTTACAGAGTTTTTACACTTACTTACAGAGTTTTTACACTTACTTACAGAGGTTTTACACTTACTTACAGAGTTTTACACTTACAGAGTTTTTACACTTACTTACAGAGGTTTTACACTTACTTACAGAGTTTTTACACTTACTTACAGAGTTTTTACACTTACTTACAGAGGTTTTACACTTACTTACAGAGTTTTTACACTTACTTACAGAGGTTTTACACTTACTTACAGAGGTTTTACACTTACTTACAGAGTTTTTACACTTACTTACAGAGTTTTTACACTTACCTACAGAGTTTTTACACTTACTTACAGAGTTTTTACACTAACTTACAGAGTTTTTACACTTACTTACAGAGTTTTTACACTTACTTACAGAGTTTTTACACTAACTTACAGAGTTTTTACACTTACTTACAGAGTTTTTACACTTACTTACAGAGTTTTTACACTAACTTACAGAGTTTTTACACTTACTTACAGAGTTTTTACACTTACCTACATAGTTTTTACACTTACTTACAGAGTTTTTACACTAACTTACAGAGTTTTTACACTTACTTACAGAGTTTTTACACTTACTTACAGAGTTTTTACACTAACTTACAGAGTTTTTACACTTACTTACAGAGTTTTTACACTTACTTACAGAGTTTTTACACTTACTTACAGAGTTTTTACACTTACCTACAGAGTTTTTACACTTACTTACAGAGTTTTTACACTAACTTACAGAGTTTTTACACTTACTTACAGAGTTTTTACACTTACTTACAGAGTTTTTACACTTACTTACAGAGTTTTTACACTTACTTACAGAGTTTTTACACTTACTTACAGAGTTTTTACACTTACTTACAGAGTTTTTACACTTACTTACAGAGTTTTTACACTTACCTACAGAGTTTTTACACTTACTTACAGAGTTTTTACACTAACTTACAGAGTTTTTACACTTACTTACAGAGTTTTAACACTTACTTACAGAGGTTTTACACTTACTTACAGAGTTTTTACACTTACTTACAGAGTTTTTACACTTACTTACAGAGTTTTTACACTTACTTACAGAGTTTTTATACTTACTTACAGAGTTTTTATACTTACTTACAGAGGTTTTATACTTACTTACAGAGTTTTTACACTTACTTACAGAGTTTTTACACTTACTTACAGAGTTTTTACACTTACTTACAGAGTTTTTACACTTACTTACAGAGGTTTTACACTTACTTACAGAGTTTTTACACTTACTTACAGAGGTTTTACACTTACTTACAGAGTTTTTACACTTACAGAGTTTTTACACTTACAGAGTTTTTACACTTACTTACAGAGGTTTTACACTTACTTACAGAGTTTTTACACTTACTTACAGAGTTTTTACACTTACAGAGTTTTTACACTTACTTACAGAGTTTTTACACTTACTTACAGTATTTTTACACTTACTTACAGAGGTTTTACACTCACTTACAGTGGTTTTACACTTACAGAGTTTTTACACTTACTTACAGAGGTTTTACACTTACTTACAGAGTTTTTACACTTACTTACAATATTTTTACACTTACTTACAGAGGTTTTACACTCACTTACAGAGTTTTTACACTTACTTACAGAGTTTTTACACTTACAGAGTTTTACACTTACAGAGTTTTTACGCTTACTTACAGAGTTTTTACACTTACTAACAGAGGTTTTACACTTACTAACAGAGTTTTACACTTACTTACAGAGTTTTTACACTTACTTACAGAGATTTTACACTTACTTACAGCTTGTTTTAATGGGGCTCACCAAACAAATTGATTTGTTTTTATTGGGAGTAAGACATGTAAAACACATGTTTATGAAGTAACATATTGAGGAAATATATATTCCCAGCGGAAGAAATGTGTGAAACTCTTGCAACAGGAAATCAGGCAGACACTTGAAAATTTAAGTGTGAAATGAATTTTGTAAGGAAGGTTATTATTTCTTTTGCTCCTGGATGGGCATACAGTTACAACTGCTTCAAGCATTCGTTACCAACTTGTGCCATTCTGGGACAAAGATGCTGCTAAAAGGTTTTACTCAAATCTGACAGATCCCCTGACAGTCGGGGTGGTCGGTCGGCCTTGTGGTTAAAGCGTTAGCTCGTTACGCCGAAGACCCGGGCCCACTTGCACAAAGCAATCTTAGCGCTAAGACTGTTGTAAGCCTATGCTGAAGTATGGGAGTTACGATCATCTTAGCGCTAAGATCGCTTTGTGCAAGTGGGCCCCGGCCGGGTTCGATTCCCGACATGGGTACTCTCCAGGGAGCTGAGAATGAAAATCGATTGCTCACTGATCCATTGACTGGGGTAATAATGCACACGAACTGGTACGGAGTTTGGCGCCATACAAATGGAATATTGCAAAAAATACGGCGTAAAACCATACTCACTCACTCGCTCCCTTGACAGTCATATAGCTGTACAATTTACCCAGAGAATCTCTTTTATGGTCTCTGGTACAACCATAGACAACACTGAAATAATCTTCAGCTTCAATGAGATTTCCATTTATGACTAATATAAAAAGGTACTATTTTAGTAAAACGAGTATTATTGACATGAAAACGAGATAATCCCCTTGTTCTACACGCAAATGTGTAACGTCATGTGTGACGTCATCGTACGCACATGCTGCACATGTATTCCTAAACCCGATTTTGGCCTAGATGTTCGAATTCTTGAAATTCTAGAAATAACGTTATTTGGTGTTTAATCATGTTTTTTCAACAAGCCGTTTTCCACATGAAAGAAAAGATGAGGTATTGGCTAGCCGTTCTCTTCTCCGTTGGCCCGTAACTAGACGAATTTCTTCCAGTGGAAATAAAGAAATAAACTATGGATTTATAAACTAAAATAACTTACATTATGCACTTCAGCATATTTAGTTTAGTAAAAAATAAAGTTTGCCTTATTTTTTCCTTAAAACACATCCAAACACTGATGTCTGATTTTACAGAGCCTTAAATTAATCTTACTCTTATCAGACAGAATTTTTACCTCTTAAAATTGTTTCAGGCACTGACTGCTATTTGGTTTTGTTAGTCAAGTATAAGAAATTTGAGGGAGGGGGAGGTGCAAAATAGGTTTACACCATTCCTTCTTGCAGCAGATCTAAAATTTATTCAACGGTTGTGTGGAAGAACAGACTCAGATTGATTTGGTGAAGTGACAGTTATACTCGTCAGTGATCCGAAATTATGTGCGGGGGTGGAGTCAAATATAGCGCCCCGCCCACACACAATTTCGGATTCCTTGCTTATTAAATCAAAAGTGACTTGGGTTTCAGTATAAATTGTCTCAACGCAGTGTGAAACTCGTAACCTATTTGAACATAAACGTGTGCATCATCAACAGTAAAAAAAACCCGCTTTCGTCGAGTTCATTTTTATTTCTGTAGATTCGTCTGTTTATTGTTGTCACGTGACTATCAAGCTCCTAACAGTCCAACAACTCCTCACACCACTTTCGGACATAACATAAACAAGCATGGCCGCCGACACGCGGAGAGAGCTTCCTGTTACAGGTCCAACCACCCTATTGTTCGATGACCGTATCGTTCTGGTTCTATGCCGTTCGGTTCGGTTCGTCAAGGGCTGCTCTCAGTGGTGATCGTAATTCAAATATTGGAAATATGTTAAAGGTAAGCTCTCTGTGGAAATTGACCCGTAATGTAGAGCACTACATATGTCAAATTATGGAACCGGCAATGACAAGTTATCTGGTAATTTATAGATCTGACGGGAGCAGTTCGATCAGATGCATCACTCATGCTTTTCTCTCCGACAACCCCCACTGACGTTAAAGGGCAACACAATGTAAGACAGATCTATATTGGGCTCGCACCTTTCACCAGTGGATGTGCTGACCGTTGATCAGTCAGCCGTGGCTAATTGTGGCAATGGATATATTGTCATCCCGATACTTTACAGTATATTTCTAGTGACCACAACAATAACGATTGCTAATTTTGTAATGTATGTATTTTCCCCAGTATTGATAAGTACCAGTTTTGTAGGTCATGTGTGATATGTGTAAGCACCATGCTCTGCATGATTATTAATGTGTATGATTCAATACATATAATTTGTTTTTATATAGTTAATTCATGAAGCCTCTGAAGCTGATATCTTAAATTGGAAATATCATTAACATTTAAATTCATCTTGACTCATTTATTTTCAGTCCCCAGACTAAATTACTATTCAGAATAAATGATATTGCATAGTATAAAATTAATGCAGTATATGTATTCTAGAATGTTCTTGATACGATATGTTATCATGGTACTTGTTCTTTCATATGTTTTTAAAGTAACTTTCACAAATGAATCAGAGACTTACTGCACAACCAATTTGAATGCTAACACAGGTTTTTTTGTGACACAGAAATGTGCGTCCACTACACACAGTTGTGCAGAAAGGATGCAGAAAAAAAGAATTAATAGCGTTTAGTGATCAGAACTTAATGCCTTTATGTCAGGCTTGGCACCGTTGCTATTAATACTACATCTTAATACCTACCTTCATTCTGTGCATCTATGTGCTGGTTTTCATGCTGCCATCATCTCCGGCCTAGATCTGCTCTTGGCATGTCCGGTTATAGGAATGTTTGTTTATATTTACTATGTCATCTTGTAATGTGGCACTTGCTCTCCAGCTTTCAGCTGCACAACGCATATTTTATATTTTTGCATTCATCTGTAGTTTGTTGCATCTATATATATATGTTGTTATATAATTTGTAGCATTCCGAGGGATGCACAATAATATTCATTGTACCAAATTCTTGATGAGAAATATAAAGTTCCGAAAGTAATTATCAAATCCTACACTATTATATACTACCCCATTTCATTACATTATAGGACCCTCATATTTCCTGTAAAACAATTACCGGTATTTGGGACCTCTGGACCCCATGTTTTGTAGGTCAAGGTAAAACCCTGCTAACAGAAGTGCCCTTGACATCAAAAGTATTTAACATAACTAACAATGCTCTTCTCCTACAGATACATTGCTGACATCAGCCATGAGTAACAAGGGCGCCACCACAGGTGGGGTTGGATCAGTTTCGGATGACAGCGCTGCAGTTCTGCCTGAAGGATCCGATGTCTCCTCACACGCCCCCGCACCTGTGTCAGGGTCCACTGATCCAGACGAAGGAAGCTTTCTTGGCCAAGTCAGGGACGAGTCTGTGTTTGGATCTGGCCCAATGAGGCAGTTGTCTCAGTTGAGTAGCACTAGTGAAGTCTCGGAAGGTGTTACAAGTATGTCATCTGGCAAGGATGATGTTTGTGGGCGTAGGTCACCTGCATCTCGACCAACTTCAGAGTTGTCTCAGTTATTATTCTCCCCCCACCAGCTTGGTTCATCTGGCGGGTTTGTACCAGTATCTCCCAGTTCTAGGCAGTCAGCCGTTTCCCAGGTGCCCCAGCACAGCGACCTCGTGACTTCAGGTGAGAAAGTCCATACATGGACATGTCGGATCTTTTGGTATGTCTTCATCAAAATACAACTTTGCTCGAAGAAATGAGCAATTATTTTAAAATGTATTTGTACTGAATTTTCAGTATTAGCATCTACAAACAAAATTGGACAATAGAACCATGAATATGATAAATATATGATAAAGATTGTCACCAGAATTGACGCTACTTGCAGGTGATACTTTCCTCTGCTAGAGCACATTTAGTAACTTATTTTCTTATTGATAAAAAATTGTATTCTTCTTGGCACACAGCCAAACATGTATGGCCCTGTGTCACACTGGAAAATAATTTTGGGCACTTCATAATTTCTCTTCAACTTTCTCATCGACTTGGTTAAAAAATTGATGTCTATTTTTCTGGCTTTTACAGACTGTTTTTGCATCTTGACCTTTTGGGCAAGAACATCCAAATAAGGCAAGAGAATCATATGATCTGCTGTGTTAGAAATTGGCACTAGTCCTGTAGTCCTTGCCAAACTGCCCAATAGTTAAGGTATCATGAGGACTAGTAGAAATTTGCCATTTTTAAGGGTTTAGCTCTATGTTATCATTCTAAGGACTAGTGGACTAAAAATGTTAGTTTCTACCCCTGATCTGGCTGATGGCTCTGATGGCAGATATCATTTGGATCTGTTTAATTGATTTAGGATCCCGGGTGGTTCCTGAAAGCTACAAATTTTGTTTGTCTTAGCCAAGCATAACCGTGAAGATTCGGGTTAGAATAGGTCTTCAGCAACCTATGCTTTTCCTAAAAGGCGACTATGCTTATCGTAAGAGGCCACTAACAGGGTTGGGTGGTCAGGCTCGCTGACTTGGTTGATGCATGTCTTTGTATGCCAGTTATATGGATTGATGCACATAATGTCAATCACCGGAATATTTACAGACCACCAAACTAACAAAGTTATTTTCTGATCCTCTAATGCAGTGAGTGGTTCCCCTCGAGGGGAAGATTCCGATCTCTACTCACGTCCTACGTCCATCCATCAGTCCCCTCAGCTCAGTGTGAGGAGTGGCTCCATTGGCTCCAGTGGCTCCTACAGACTTGGGGGACACTCCAAACTCACACCCAATATCGGCAGACATGTTCCTGGCGTGTCTCCGACGTCTTCCAAAGAGGCTGTGAGTGAAGCTCGTACTCCGCCAACTGAGGGCCATCAACCGCTTCTTGTGCAGCTGTCCAGCGGAAAACGAGCGGAACTGTCTCACGTCTCGGATCAGGAACATAGGAAGAGTATTGCAGATTCAAGGTTATCCCGAGGTCGGGACAAAAACGTAAGCGAATCTTTGTCTGCTGTGAAGGAAGATGGGGAGGCGATTTATCCACAGATGTCACGAGTTGGATGGCATAGCCTGGACACAGAGGACAATGATGATACCTTCTATCATGGCTTGAATCCTATGTATGCAACTGTCACCAGCAATGCCTCCGCCTTCAGTCGAGAGTCTTCAGACATGGCCTACATTCCGAACTTCCCTGGGGGAGTCCTACACTTTGTACAGGAAGGAGACTCTGTCTTCAACCAGATGGTCAGTGTAAGCTGTAGTGTCAGTAAGGCTGTCATACAATGCACATTTATAACATGCAACTTGATTATTAGCTGTTCAAATATTCCCCATTTTGCCTGAATTTCTCACATTGTTATCCACATTTGGCATTTAATCTATTTTTTAACCAATAATTTTGTGCAATTCTGTAATCCTCATTACCATTCGTGACCAACTCGTGTTATTCCAGGACAAGCCGAATAGCGACTCGTGCCCCTCTCATGGCCATTTTTGCGACATGGTTCCGTCTTAGCGGAAACGGGCATACCTAAAACAATTGTCAACTCGTAGTGGATGGGTCACATATATTTCCCCATATATTATATCTATTTCAGATGCAATTTAATACACATCAGGACATGCGGAATTATACAGTATGATTGACCATATTTAACTGTGTCTTGGGTACATTTTTAGATGTAAGACATGTTAAATTAAAAATTGTTTCTGAGGGATTCTTTGACGAAGAGCTTGAAATCATATGCGTATTCTGATTGGTTTGTCGTATTTTCGCACATAACATTAATCGATAGGGGGACAAGTCTTCTTGCAGGTTACGGAAAGGGGCGAGTGGTGACGAATGCCTCATCACCTGTACTTAATATTATTACATACATGTTAATATTGTGACTATGATCCTTGTAAGAAGTGACTGACAGGATCTGATGGTCAGGCTTGCTGACTCCATATAATCTAGGCCATCTGTTAGCCTTGCCAGAATGTTCGATTATTCTGTTTTCAAATTTTTAATTGAGAATTTGTCAAAATATGTTTCAAAGCATAGTCACCAGTTTGAAGCTAGTGCCGTAAAGCATGAGAAAGCTTCCTTCTGATTGGCTTATGTCAACTTCTTGTCAGTTATCTCATTGGTCGGCCAAAATTTGCCAAAGGTCTGTCTGATGTGACTGGTAATGGGATGCCCTCAGATATTTGTTTTGTGGTAGCGAGAACTAATATCTGCTTTTAATGAGATTGTATCACAAGGAAATATATCTTCAATGAAATTGCCTCAAAATGCTTTGCAGATTATTATGATGTCAACGTTTACTATGACATCACAATCAAATGACATCATTAATCTCTGCCACTGCAGCTGAACTATTTAGACTCAAGACTGGTTATTACTGTTGCAAACTGAAAAAGTGGGAAGAATGATTTTGGATGATAAACAGAATCTTGACCTGGTGTCTTCCAAACTCAAATTTATCAAGACTCAGATATTTGTAATTTTCATCAACTCGTCTTGATATATTTTGTCTCGGAAGACACCTGGGTGAGATTCTCTATGTATTTACGACCCGTGAAGATTCTGGCGACTAACAGGTACGGGTGGTCAGTCTCGCTGACTTGGTTGATGCATGTCATCGATCCCAATTGCGTGGATCGATGCTCCTGATATTAGTCACTGGATTGTCTGGTCCAGACTCGATTATTTACAGACCACTGTCATATAGCTGGAATATTGCTGAGTGCGGCGTTAAACAACAAACCAACCAACCAACTCTATGTATTTACAGTGTGAAGAAGTTCTCACTAGTTCAGACAGTGTTCCCTTTTATGTGCAATAGAATACCGGTAATTCAGTTGGAGATGGAGCAGTACTGTGAGTCACTTCTAGACATCGGTTTGATTTCAGGATCGTTATTATGTGTGTATACCTCGAGACAGCACAGTAGATGATGTTGCAAGTTACATCGCCGGTGGCTGGCGGCGGCGTACTCCCAAGATTGTGCTGTCTGTGATCAGCAGTGTGCAGTACTTCAAGGCCTGGGAGAATGAGAGAAGTGTCGACAACTTTAAGAGAGGACTCATTCAGGTAGGCGTGTACAGGGCATCAGGCTCAAACAGTTCAGACTAACAAGCAAAGCCTCATCCTCAAGGTTGTTGAAGGAAAACAGGATTTTGCACTAACAATATTCCTGACCATTAATCAAGTTGCAATATTTTGATTCCCTGAAAGACACTTGTTGAGCAACTAATACATACTTTACAACAAGACCCGTGAAGATCCAGTTAGAATAGGTCGTAAAAGGCGACTATGCTTGTCGTTAGTGGTGACTAACGGGTTCGGGTGGTCAGACTCTCTGACTTGGTTGATGCATGTCAGCGTATCCTAATTGCTTGGATTGATGCTCATGATATCAATCACTGGATTGTCTGGCCCAGACTTGATTATTTATAAACAACCGTCCTATAACTGTAAATATTGCTGAGTGTGGCATTAAACAACATACAAACTTTACAACAAGCATCTGTACTACAAAGGGAGGTAACCATAGTACATAACAGGTGACCCATGAAGATCCAGTGTAGAATAGGTCTTCAGCAACCCATGCTTGTCGTAAAAGGCCACTAACGGGATCGGGTTGTCAGGCTCGTTGACTTGGTTAATGCATGGATCCCAATTGCGTGGATCGATGCTCATAAAGTCAATCACTGGATTGTCTGGCCCAGACTCGGTTATTTACAGACAGCCGTCATATAGCTGGAATCTCTCTGAGTGGGCAGTTAAACAACAAACAAACAAACGTAACATGTCTTCGATGTATTTCAGGCGGCAAACTTGACTGAGATGTGGATTCTGACTGATGGCCTTGACCGTGGGGTGGCGAAGATGATTGGCAATGCTGTGTACCAGGAAATGGCCCGCAGGAAGTGCCAGGAAATGGATGCTCAGGTGGTCAAGAACGTGTACATGGTGGAGAAAGTGACCAAACTGACTGTGCTGGGCGTCGTCAACAAGGAGCACATCGCGTACTCCGAAGCCTTGAGCGGAGAGGTATGCTGTGTCTGCCTTTTCTCATTACTAATATTTGTGAGCCGAAAATATTATCAACATGTTTTTATATTCTAATGTGTAAACAAACAAGGCATGTAAAAGTAATGAATTCATAGAGAAATATTGTCTTTACTTGTCATAAAACTTGTTTAGCTCATCTAATGACCTGCAAAGTTGAAATTATATGTGAGTGATTGAGTGAGTTGGGTTTAACGCTGCTTTTAACAGTATTCCAGTTATATCACGGCGTGTCAGCTTAATGTGGGAGGAAACCCCAAAGTGTGCAGGTCTCAGACGTCTACCACTTCGGTGAAACCCACGAGCACGGGTATGGTGCTGACAAACCTAGTAACATAATCGGGGTGAACTGGGATTCGAACCCACAATCATAGGTTTCTGGCGTGCCCAAGGGACGCAACTCTGCATAGTGAATCGCGACTTGGACTGGGACTGTGAATTAGACGACTGGGCCACCCGTGCCCCCCTGAAATGATATGAAAGAGATTAACATGTTACTTGACAAGAAAAGACAATAAAGTGTAACCATAGATTTTTGCCATTAAACAATATATCACGTGACAAACCACTGATGTGGGTCCTACTCCGCACCCACCTGACCCGAGTACTCCCCTGACCCATCCCAGCCCTACATTGAAGCATGGTTAACTGGCACCATATGTGTCAAGTTGTCCATAGTTGGTGGCAACACCACGGTACCATTGTTAGTTGATATGGAATCCGTGTTGGCAAGGTTTCCTTGTATGTATGTTTGTTTTGCAATTAGAATCTAAATTTGTGTTTTCTTTTTGAGAACATCATGATTTGTCAAGTTTCTGACAACTGTATACAGGGATTTATCAAGAGGCTGATATTGGCCCAGTCATATAAACTTTCCAATTTTGAACTAAAATTTTCCCAATTCATGTGACAATGTATTAATGTTTGTAACTAATAACTAATTTTTGGGCTGAGTATGCACTTATGACAGATCAATAAATAGAAACAGGTTTTAATGTTTTGTTTTATGTTATTGCAATCTCAAAATACCCCTGAATTTAAGAAATTTTGAAAATTAAAAAAATCCCACATTTGAACAAATAGCATTTATTTCTCAAATTTGCCTGCCAGGGGCACTAAGTTAAACATCCTGGACTCATCCTCATCGGATATATGATGAAAGAAAGTGCCACTAACCCTCTGAATTACAGCACAAGGACCCACAGGAACTAGAGAACTCGGGCTACAAGCCATCGTCAGGGAAGTACAACTTGAACCCAAACCACACCCACTTCATCCTGGGGGAGGAAGTCACCTCGCAGGAACTCATCAACTTCCGATATAACCTGGAACTTCGCTTCCAGATGCCCGTGGGTCGTCCCCGGCGATATCGACGGATGCCTTCAAGTCAGACCACCCTGTGTATGTAGAGCTGTGTGAAGAGAGAGGCAGTGATAGCATGGTTTGGAAGAAATGCTAATCCACTAAACTAACTAAACTCACACAAGTAATAATGTTGGTTAAAATAACAGTACTGTCTGGAATGTGACTGCATGTGCAAACAGTACTTATTCCCTGTTGCAGAGAACAGTGAGGTTATAACAGTTCTTATTCCTTGTGGCAGGGAACAGTGAGGTTATAACAGTACTTATTCCCAGTGGCAGGGAACAGTGAGGTTATAACAGTTCTTATTGCTAGTGGCAGGGAACAGTGAGGTTATAACAGTACTTATTGCTAGTGGCAGGGAACAGTGAGGTTATAACAGTACTTATTGCTAGTGGCAGGGAACAGTGAGGTTATAACAGTACTTATTATGCTAGTGGCAGGGAACAGTGAGGTTATAACGGTACTTATTGCTAGTGGCAGGGAACAGTGAGGTTATAACAGTACTTATTCCTAGTGGCAGGGAACAGTGGAGTTATTACTTCACTTATTCCTATTGGCAGGGAACAGTGAGGTTATTATAGTTCTTATTCCCAGTGACAGGGAACAGTGAGGTTATAACAGTACTTATTCCTAGTGGCAGGGAACAGTGAGGTTATAACAGTTCTTATTCATAGTTGCAGGGAACAGGGAGGATATAACAGTTCTTATTCCTAGTGTCAGGGAACAGTGAGGTTATAACAGTTCTTATTCCTAGTGTCAGGAAACAGTGAGGTTATAACCGTTCTTATTCCTAGTGGCAGAGAACAGGGAGGTTATTGTTTCACTTGTTTCACTTATTGTTTCCTGGCAGGGAACAGTGAGGTTATTACAGTTCATATTCCTAGTTGCAGGGAACAGTGAAGTTATTACTTTACATATTTGTAGATGCAGGGAACAGTGAGGTTATTACAGTTCATATTCCTAGTTGCAGGGAACAGTGAAGTTATTACTTTACATATTTGTAGATGCAGGGAACAGGGAGGTTATTACAGTTCATATTCCTAGTGGCAGGGAACAGTGAAGTTATTACTTTACATATTTGTAGATGCAGGGAACAGTGAGGTTATTACAGTTCATATTCCTAGTGGCAGGGAACAGTGAAGTTATTACTTTACATATTTTTAGATGCAGGGAACAGTGAGGTTAAAACGTACTTGTTCCCAGTTGCAGGGAACAGTGAGGTTATAACAGTTCTTATTCCTAGTGGCAGGGAACAGTGAAGTTATTACTTTACATATTTTTAGATGCAGGGAACAGTGAGGTTAAAACGTACTTGTTCCCAGTTGCAGGGAACAGTGAAGTTATTACTTTACTTGTTCCCAGTTGCAGGGAACAGTGAGGTTATAACATACTTGTTCCCAGTTGCAGGGAACAGGGAGGTTATAACAGTTCTTATTCCTAGTGGCAGGGAACAGTGAAGTTATTACTTTACTTATTTTTAGATGCAGGGAACAGCGATGTTATAACATACTTGTTCCCAGTTGCAGGGAACAGTGAGGTGGATCTGGTGCAGACCCACATGCCTACAGTGGAGGGGACCACCACTCCTGTCATCGGCCTCCTGATTCAGGGAGGACCGCCCGATATTGACCACACCCTTGCCCTCCTCAAGAAGAAGATACCTGTGATAGTTATGAAAGGCTTTGGTCTCGCAGCTGATCTGATTGCATTTGCCTACCAGGAAATGAAGGAAAGGTAAGCATTAGAGATGCTTCACAATGTTGTGAAATATGTTTTAGAAAGTCAGAAATGGCTTCCACTTTCATGATTAAGTCTCAAAGTACATCATATAGTAATCATGATATATTTTTTTATCTGCAGAAAAAGAAGTCAAAGTGACCTTATAGTTGATATTTAACATCAAGGACTGTGTCCTTCCTTGAAAGAAGTAGCTATTTACAGGCTTGTGCAATGATTTAAATCTTATCATGTATCCATGGTAACAGATCTGATGATGACCACGTCAACATGTTCGTCAAACCAGAACTGATGAAGAAGGTCAAGGATGCATTTCCAAAGGATTTCAAGGACGATGATCTTGCTCGTAATGAGTGTCGGGACAAGATTCTAGAGTGTGCAATAATGGCTCATCAGGTTAGTTTGTGCATGGACGCTGTGGTCAGAGCCTTGTGTGCACTTGTGCGACTTATCCGTGATCCCCACTTTCCCCACTTTCTCAGCATCATCCACTCACTCACTCACTCACTTAACCACGTGGCCTTCCAATATAGGTCATCTGTGTTCCAGTCTGATTCACCCTACCCAAGAAGATCTGTGATCTTCATAGGTCTTCAGCAACCCATTCTTGCCGTAAAAGGCAACTAGGCTTGCTGTAAGAGACGACTATGCATGTCATAAGAGGCGACATTAACGGGATCGGGTGATCAGGCTCGTTGACTTGGTTCATGCATGTCATCATATCCCAATTGCATGGATAGATGCTCATTATGTCAATCACTGGATTGTCTGGCCCAGACTCGATTGTTTACAAACAACCGTCATGTGGCTGGAATATAGCTGAGTGTCGCATTTTACAACAAACAAACAAAACAAAAATCTGACTCACCCAACCCCCCTGACTGAGATGTGTGATCTGTGTGTTGCAGGACAGTCTCACCCCTCCCTATCCCCCTGACTGAGACGTGTGATCTGTGTGTTGCAGGACAGTCTCACCCCTTCCTATCCCCCTGACTGAGACGTGTGATCTGTGTGTTGCAGCACAGTCTCACCCCCTTCCTATCCCCATGACTGAGACGTGTGATCTGTGTGTTGCAGGACAAACTCACCCCTCCCTATCCCCCTGACTGATCTGTGTGATCTGTGTGTTGCAGGACAAACTCACCCTCTCCCTATCCCCCTGACTGAGATGTGTGATCTGTGTGTTGCAGGACAGTTTCACCCCCTTCCTATCCCCCTGACTGAGACGTGTGATCTGTGTGTTGCAGGACAAACTCACCCCTCCCTATCCCCCTGACTGAGATGTGTGATGTGTGTGTTGCAGGACAAACTCACCCCCTCCCTATCCCCCTGACTGAGACGTGTGATCTGTGTGTTGCAGGACAGTCTCACCCCCTCCCTATCCCCCTGACTGAGACGTGTGATCTGTGTGTTGCAGGACAGTTTCACCCCCTTCCTATCCCCGTGACTGAGACGTGTGATCTGTGTGTTGCAGGACAAACTCACCCCTCCCTATCCCCCTGACTGAGACTGTGATCTGTGTGTTGCAGGACAGTCTCACCCCTCCCTATCCCCCTGACTGAGACGTGTGATCTGTGTGTTGCAGGACAGTCTCACCCCCTTCCTATCCCGGTGACTGAGACGTGTGATCTGTGTGTTGCAGGACAGTCTCACCCCCTCCCTATCCCCCTGACTGAGACGTGTGATCTGTGTGTTGCAGGACAGTCTCACCCCCTTCCTATCCCCGTGACTGAGACGTGTGATCTGTGTGTTGCAGGACAAACTCACCCCTCCCTATCCCCCTGACTGAGATGTGTGATGTGTGTGTTGCAGGACAGTCTCACCCCTCCCTATCCCCCTGACTGAGACGTGTGATGTGTGTGTTGCAGGACAGTCTCACCCCGTCCCTATCCCCCTGACTGAGACGTGTGATGTGTGTGTTGCAGGACAGTCTCACCCCTCCCTATCCCCCTGACTGATCTGTGTGATCTGTGTGTTGCAGGACAAACTCACCCCTCCCTATCCCCCTGACTGAGATGTGTGATGTGTGTGTTGCAGGACAGTCTCACCCCTCCCTATCCCCCTGACTGAGACGTGTGATGTGTGTGTTGCAGGACAGTCTCACCCCTCCCTATCCCCCTGACTGATCTGTGTGATCTGTGTGTTGCAGGACAGTCTCACCCCTCCCTATCCCCCTGACTGATCTGTGTGATCTGTGTGTTGCAGGACAGTCTCACCCCTCCCTATCCCCCTGACTGAGATGTGTGATCTGTGTGTTGCAGGACAGTCTCACCCCTCCCTATCCACCTGACTGATCTGTGTGATCTGTGTGTTGCAGGACAGTCTCATCCCTCCCTATCCCCCTGACTGATCTGTGTGATCTGTGTGTTGCAGGACAGTCTCACCCCTTCCTATCCCCCTGACTGATCTGTGTGATCTGTGTGTTGCAGGACAGTCTCACCCCTCCCTATCCCCCTGACTGATCTGTGTGATCTGTGTGTTGCAGGACAGTCTCATCCCTCCCTATCCCCCTGACTGAGACGTGTGATCTGTGTGTTGCAGGACAGTCTCACCCCTCCCTATCCCCCTGACTGATCTGTGTGATCTGTGTGTTGCAGGACAGTCTCACCCCTCCCTATCCCCCTGCCTGAGATGTGTGATCTGTGTGTTGCAGGACAAACTCACCCCTCCCTATCCCCATGACTGATCTGTGTGATCTGTGTGTTGCAGGACAGTCTCACCCCTCCCTATCCCCCTGACTGAGATGTGTGATGTGTGTGTTGCAGGACAGTCTCACCCCTCCCTATCCCCCTGACTGATCTGTGTGATCTGTGTGTTGCAGGACAGTCTCACCCCTCCCTATCCCCCTGACTGAGACGTGTGATCTGTGTGTTGCAGGACAGTCTCACCCCTCCCTATCCCCCTGACTGATCTGTGTGATCTGTGTGTTGCAGGACAGTCTCACCCCTCCCTATCCCCCTGACTGAGACGTGTGATCTGTGTGTTGCAGGACAGTCTCACCCCTCCCTATCCCCCTGACTGATCTGTGTGATCTGTGTGTTGCAGGACAGTCTCACCCCTCCCTATCCCCCTGACTGAGACGTGTGATCTGTGTGTTGCAGGACAGTCTCACCCCTCCCTATCCCCCTGACTGATCTGTGTGATCTGTGTGTTGCAGGACAGTCTCACCCCTCCCTATCCCCCTGACTGATCTGTGTGATCTGTGTGTTGCAGGACAGTCTCACCCCTCCCTATCCCCCTGACTGATCTGTGTGATCTGTGTGTTGCAGGACAGTCTCACCCCTCCCTATCCCCCTGACTGATCTGTGTGATCTGTGTGTTGCAGGACAGTCTCACCCCTTCCTATCCCCCTGACTGAGATGTGTGATCTGTGTGTTGCAGGACAGTCTCACCCCTCCCTATCCCCCTGACTGAGACGTGTGATCTGTGTGATCTGTGTGTTGCAGGACAGTCTCACATACCTGACAATCCTAGACACCAGCAGTAAGGAGTCGGATCTCACCCACCTCAACAAGTACATCCTGAAAGCACTCTTCAAAGGTGAGTTTCATGCCCGGTGCTATCCATATTAACTTGTCAGCTTCAGGGAACCATAAAATAAGTAAAAAGCAAAAATTCATTTGGTTGACAAGACTAATGTTTTTCTGTTATGTGAGATATGCACAAACAATTTTCTATTTGATGTACCTTATGAATTTAGAACTGGTTGTTAATATTGAACATTTTCCAATGAGCCCAAATAATGTGGTGCAATGTTTGCATTCTGTATACTATATAATCACTGTGATCATTGTGATGCAAACACTCTCTCCTGTACATCCGTGTTCATCTCACTGCTCACAACATTACTGAAGAGCTGGTTATATGGTTTGATTGTATGACAAGATTATATCCCTCCAGCTCAGACACGGAAACTGGGATTCGATGGCAGTGTGATTGTATAACAAGCTTATATCCCTCCAGCTCAGACACAGAAACTGGGATTCGATGGCAGCGTGATTGTATAACATGCTTATATCCCTCCAGCTCAGACTCAGAAACTGGGGACTTGATGGCAGCGTGATTGTATAACATGCTTATATCCCTCCAGCTCAGACTCAGAAACTGGGGACTTGATGGCAGCATGATTATATAACATGCTTATATCCCTCCAGCTTAGACACAGAAACTGGGGATTCGATGGCAGCGTGATTGTATAACATGCTTATATCCCTCCAGCTCAGACACGGAAACTGGGGATTCGATGGCAGCGTGATGGTATAACATGCTTATATCCCTCCAGCTCAGTCACGGAAACTGGGGATTCGATGGCAGCTTGATTGTATAACATGCTTATATCCCTCAAGCTCTGACACGGAAACTGGGATTAGATGGCAGTGTGATTGTATAACATGCTTATATCCCTCCAGCTCAGACACGGAAACTGGGGACTCGATGGCGGGAACAAATCCAGAGGGACCTTCAACTCACTCTGGACTGGAACAGACCTGATCTAGCAAACACTGAAATCTTCAAGAAATATAACTGGATTAATATCAAGGTTTGTTACTGTATATATAAGAGTATTTGGTTGGACGTACAACACTCCAATCTTCATGATCTTTTCCTGTATCAGAACATGTATGTACAGAACACTCCTGTTACTTATACCACAGATTGGTGGGGATTCTGGGAGGCAATATTCATGTAGTATGAAGAGCTACTAGACTGATAGGAGCTCATAGAAGCAGTCTAGTTCGGCAGTGTGGAAACTGGACATTTTTAGTCAGTCAACAATCTTGCCTCAGGAAGATGACCTCGGTGTTGTGAAAGCATTTTATGCATTTATTATATACACATCATAGTAAACTGATCTAACTTGGAATGTTGCACAGATTGTAGCCCCATCTTGCTTTCTTTATTGCAAATGTTGCCCTTGAGAACTTGGTGATGTTTATTTCAATTGATGTGTTTTTTGACTGAATATACGCCCCAAAAGGTTATTTCTCAGTCAGATTGTACTTTGGGCCAGTAAAATGATATGAGTTGGAAAGCTTTTTATTTGTTATAGCCTATTCTTCAGGGATGGAATCTTATTACTATTTTGTTATGGCCTATTGTTGAGACACCCCTGGGTCAGTATCACAGAGGTTGATGTTGTCCATGGTGTTGCAGGTGGAGGACCACGTGTTTCATCAGGCGCTGATCAGAACAGGCCGCGAGGAGTTTGTGGAGCTGTTTCTCAACAAGGGCTTCCGGGTCCACCGCTACCTCCACCACAAGCGTCTGCACAACCTGTTTGAGAATGCCCAGGACAAGGAGTTCTTCATCGGGGTCTGTCTGGAGGGTGTGCTGGGGAAGTCTGTGGTAGGTGACATCGGGGTCTGTCTGGAGGGTGTGCTGGGGAAGTCAGTGGTAGGTGACATCAGGGTCTGTCTGGAGGGTGTGCTGGGGAAGTCAGTGCTAGGTGACATCGGGGTCTGTCTGGAGGGTGTGCTGGGGAAGTCAGTGGTAGGTGACATCGGGGTCTGTATGGAGGGTGTGTTCGGGAAGTCAGTGGTAGGTGACATCGGGGTCTGCCTGGAGGGTGTGTTCGGGAAGTCAGTGGTAGGTGACATTGGGGTCTGCCTGGAGGGTGTGCTAGGGAAGTCTGTGGTAGGTGACATCGGGGTCTGTCTGGAGGGTGTGCTGGGGAAGTCAGTGCTAGGTGACATCAGGGTCTGTCTGGAGGGTGTGCTGGGGAAGTCAGTGCTAGGTGACATCGGGGTCTGTCTTGAGGGTGTGTTGGGGAAGTCAGTGGTAGGTGACATCGGGGTCTGTCTGGAGGGTGTGTTGGGGAAGTCAGTGGTAGGTGACATCAGGGTCTGTCTTGAGGGTGTGCTGGGGAAGTCAGTGGTAGGTGATATCGGGGTCTGTCTTGAGGGTGTGCTAGGGAAGTCAGTGGTAGGTGACATCGGGGTCTGTCTGGAGGGTGTGCTGGGGAAGTCAGTGGTAGGTGACATCAGGGTCTGTCTGGAGCGTGTGCTGGGGAAGTCAGTGCTAGGTGACATCAGGGTCTGTCTGGAGGGTGTGCTGGGGAAGTCAGTGCTAGGTGACATCGGGGTCTGTCTGGAGGGTGTGTTGGGGAAGTCAGTGGTAGGTGACATCAGGGTCTGTCTTGAGGGTGTGCTGGGGAAGTCAGTGGTAGGTGATATCGGGGTCTGTCTTGAGGGTGTGCTAGGGAAGTCAGTGGTAGGTGACATCGGGGTCTGTCTGGAGGGTGTGCTGGGGAAGTCAGTGGTAGGTGACATCAGGGTCTGTCTGGAGCGTGTGCTGGGGAAGTCAGTGCTAGGTGACATCAGGGTCTGTCTGGAGGGTGTGCTGGGGAAGTCAGTGCTAGGTGACATCAGGGTCTGTCTGGAGGGTGTGCTTGGGAAGTCTGTGGTGGGTGACATCAGGGTCTGTCTTGAGGGTGTGCTGGGGAAGTCAGTGCTAGGTGACATCAGGGTCTGTCTGGAGGGTGTGCTGGGGAAGTCAGTGCTAGGTGACATCGGGGTCTGTCTGGAGGGTGTGTTGGGGAAGTTTGTGGTAGGTGACATCGGGGTCTGTCTGGAGGGTGTGTTGGGGAAGTTTGTGGTAGGTGACATCGGGGTCTGTCTGGAGGGTGTGCTGGGGAAGTCTGTGGTAGGTGACATCGGGGTCTGTCTTGAGGGTGTGTTCGGGAAGTCAGTGGTAGGTGACATCGGGGTCTGCCTGGAGGGTGTGCTGGGGAAGTCTTTGGTAGGTGACATCGGGGTCTCTCTGGAGGGTGTGCTGGGGAAGTCTGTGGTAGGTGACATCGGGGTCTGCCTGGAGGGTGTGCTGGGGAAGTCAGTGCTAGGTGATATCGGAGTCTGTCTTGAGGGTGTGCTAGGGAAGTCTGTGGTAGGTGACATCGGGGTCTGTCTGGAGGGTGTGCTTGGGAAGTCAGTGGTAGGTGACATCAGGGTCTGTCTGGAGCGTGTGCTGGGGAAGTCAGTGCTAGGTGACATCAGGGTCTGTCTGGAGGGTGTGCTGGGGAAGTCAGTGCTAGGTGACATCAGGGTCTGTCTGGAGGGTGTGCTTGGGAAGTCTGTGGTGGGTGACATCAGGGTCTGTCTTGAGGGTGTGCTGGGGAAGTCAGTGCTAGGTGACATCAGGGTCTGTCTGGAGGGTGTGCTGGGGAAGTCAGTGCTAGGTGACATCGGGGTCTGTCTGGAGGGTGTGTTGGGGAAGTTTGTGGTAGGTGACATCGGGGTCTGTCTGGAGGGTGTGTTGGGGAAGTTTGTGGTAGGTGACATCGGGGTCTGTCTGGAGGGTGTGCTGGGGAAGTCTGTGGTAGGTGACATCGGGGTCTGTCTTGAGGGTGTGTTCGGGAAGTCAGTGGTAGGTGACATCGGGGTCTGCCTGGAGGGTGTGCTGGGGAAGTCTTTGGTAGGTGACATCGGGGTCTCTCTGGAGGGTGTGCTGGGGAAGTCTGTGGTAGGTGACATCGGGGTCTGTCTGGAGGGTGTGCTGGGGAAGTCTTTGGTAGGTGACATCAGGGTCTGTCTGGAGGGTGTGGTGGGGAAGTCAGTAGTAGGTGACATCGGGGTCTGTCTGGAGGGTGTGCTGGGGAAGTCTTTGGTAGGTGACATTGGGGTCTGTCTGGAGGGTGTGCTGGGGAAGTCAGTGGTAGGTGACATCGGGGTCTGTCTGGAGGGTGTGCTGGGGAAGTCAGTGGTAGGTGACATCAGGGTCTGTCTGGAGGGTGTGCTTGGGAAGTCTGTGGTAGGTGACATCGGGGTCTGTTTGGAGGGTGTGCTGGGGAAGTCAGTGGTAGGTGACATCGGGGTCTGTCTGCTATTGCTGTTACTATGCCTCCTCTTCTGTGGACAAATCAGATGTCTGGTTTTGCTAGTAAGACATTTCTTAAGACCCTTCCACAGAAGATGTACTTTTCTGGAGATTATTTGTGGCGACTTCTCCTGCATCTTGACAGATTGGACAGATTCACTGGTTGTTGACTTAGGTGGATACTTGATGAAACAATCTGAAACATTCTGAAACAATCTGAAACAATCTGAAACAATCTGAAACAATCTAAACAATCTGAAACAATCTAAAACAATCTGAAACAATCTGAAACATTCTGAAACAATCTGAAACAATCTAAAACTATCTGAAACATTCTGAAACAATCTGAAACAATCTGAAACAATGCAGATAAGGGGCTATGATGAACCCTGTTGTGTAGTCCCTATGGAGTGGCAGCGAACTTTTCAATGAAGCCAGGGAGGATTCCGGGATACACATGGTCCCTGGCAACCTATGTTTGTCCCGCAGGTTGACTACTTGGACGGTGGTCAGATTCAGCGACTGGTTGATTACTTGTCAAAACAGTTACTCATAATATCCATTTTTGGTGTATCTGGCCCAGGTTCAAGTATCTAAAGGTCACTGTCATACAGTCGGAATATTACTAAATGGGGCTTTATGCAACAAAATACCAAATAAATATAATTTTCATAACCTTTGAGTTCATAGCGTCCAGGATTAAGTTTTGTGATGACCTCCAATTGCAGGACCCGTATGCTCCGCTGGACCGTGAGTTTGTTGAGACTGAGAGCTGTGACCTGAACCGGCTGATATACAGGTGTACGCGACTATCGAAGCTGGTCAACCCTTACACGTTGTCCATGAACGCCCTCGGCTCGTACATCACGGACAAGGATGTGGCTGAGAGGAGGGTAAGATACCTGGAGCTTAGGCTAAAAAAAATAATAGTCTTCGTTCTCTGGCCCCGCCCGCATCATCATAAAGTCTGTTCGTTTTTATTTCCATTTTCAAAATTTAGTTCCCGCACTATATTTTCAAAGGCCATTGACTGAGATCCAATTCTTTTATTTTTGAAGCCTTAGGTAGATTGAGATTGGGTTTTATACATGAACATGAATTATGATCATATTTGCATGTCCATTTCTTTATGTTTAATATATATTGAAGTGTATCAGTCACATTTTGAATATTGTTTGGAGAATTGTGAAAAAATATGATGCCATGTGATACTTTTACAAAAACAAAATGAATGGAGGAGTCAAAGTAAAAAAAATGAAAAGTGGAAAAAGATTCTTTGATTCCACTTAGTGCTAAGTGTTAACCACAGTAAAGTTGTGTCTGTAACGATAAAGTAGCAAGACTGACAAAGAAATTTAAGAACATTGCATGTGGAGCAACATATCTAGAGAATTTTAAGAGATAAGAAAAAAATCCTCAATGTTTTGTTTTGTTTGCTTCACGCTTATTGAACATGATTTTTCTAAACCAAAAGTGAAGCAAACATAAAAATCATCTTGCATGGAGGTCTGTAGACACCATGTCCTCTGACCATGTGCAGGCTGTCAACACGCTGGTGTTCTGGGCAGCGCTGACCAACAGACCGAAGCTGGCCAAGGTGTTCTGGCGCAAGACGGAGGACCCCATGGCGATGGCTCTTATCATCAGCATGCTGATGCACAACCTGGCCAAGCGGTGGTGCAAGGAGCCGGACATCCGGTACAGTGTCAAAAACACAGCAATGTGAGTACACCCACTTCCTCATCCATACCTGGACACCTGGTGTTCAATGATCAGGACCAGTCATAAAGACTGTCCATTTACTATTTGGGGGCGGAGGGGGCTGAGGTGTTTGTCTGTCACTGCTGTCACTGCCTCAAGTCATACTTCATACTTGCAAGGAAGCAGCAAAAACAATTTGGGGGGGGACCAACATTATTTTCTTCAAAGAAAGAAGTTAGTCGACTTTCACTACAAGCATAGTCGCCTCTTGCGGCAGGCATGGGTTGCTGAAGACCTTTTCTCTACCCAGATCTTCACGGGTCACTTGACCAAGGAGGCGCCCAATGGTAGAACCACCATCCTTTCACTCTCTGGGTGACACTCTGTCCACGACCTAGGAAGCAATCCCTCTGAAATAGGCTAAACTTCATGTTCTACTCTAAAGGTAGGACTGCATCAGTCATGTTTGAGCTATGAGCATGTTGTGGTTGTGTTGCAGTGAGTTTGGCAAGATGGCCGTCAGCCTGTTGGACCTCTGCTACAAGGACTCCACCAATCAGGCCTTTCAAGCTCTCAACAAGACTCTGCAAGACTTCAATGACAAGACAGTGGTGGAGATTGCCAGGATGGGCAAAAACAAATGGTTCATTGCCCATCCTTGTTGCCAGAAGTGGCTGTCTCGCCGTTGGTATGGAAACCTACACATCCGAGAGTTGGACTGGGGGCAGCCCACGCTACCCGACTGGCTCAAGGTAAATTGCTTGATAGGCAGGACTTAGAAGTTGACGGATGACAAAGTAGACACAATTTAAGGATAACAACTTCTTTGTTTACTGTAAAGGTGACATTTTGGTATAGATCCTTATACCGTTGTCAAGCAAGGATTTAGTTCAAGGTATTATGGCAGACTAACAACTGTTGGCAATACTCATGAGAAATAGGGGGGAAATTATTCTTTATTTTCTGGGGACCCTTGATTGACAACAGTATAAGGATCTAAAACGAAATGTCGCCTTTACAGTAAATAAAGAAGTTGCTTTCCATACATCCATAAATGTAACATGGCAGACGGCAACTAATGGCTGGTGGTAATACTCATGAGAAATAGATGGAAATTATTCAGGAGACATTTAATTTGTGGGGACCCTTTCCCCTTTGTTTTCAACATAGCAACTAAAAGGCCACTATGCTTGCCGTAAAAAGTGACTATGCTTGTCGTAAGAGGCGACTAACGGGATCCGGTGGTCAGGCTCGCTGACTTGGTTGATGCATGTCATCGATCCCAATTGCGTGGATCGATGCTCATGATATTAATCACTGGATTGTCTGGTCCAGACTCGATTATTTACAGACCGCCGTCGTATAGCTGGAATATTGCTGAGTGCGGCATTAAACAACAAACCAACAAACCAACCATCAACATAGCAACAAACAAAGTTAAGCTCCCTTAGACTCTTTTCACAACTTGTACACCTCACTGGCATTACAGTGGCAGTGGGGTAGCCATCTTCCATCTTACTTCTTTCAACATCCATGATGGTCGACAAGCCTGAGACAACTAACTTGTGGTCATCCTTGACTAGCAGCACTTGAAGATTATAATTGTGAACCAGTTCCCAGTGAAAAGCGTTTAGAAGTGTTCCACGTAAGGAAGAGAATTGTAGTTAAAGTGTTCACTCATCACACTGGAGAGGAGGAGACTGAAGGCTAAGTTTGATTCCTGGGACAGTGTGTGAAGTCACTTGCTGGTGCCCCTGCCATAAAGATAAGGATCGGCAGAGTACAGCGTACCCGGAAGGTCAAACATGAATTACCTGTGTCATTAGGAAGATGTATTGTAGTGTAATGATCTGGCACACAATGAAACAAAGTTAGAGCTGCAAAGATATGTTTAGTGGACTGTTTCTGTGTGGAGTTTATTTTACAATCTGGTTTATCTTACTGATTTTGGCTGGACTAACGAGTCTATGCATAGTCCAATCAAAATCGCGCACCAAAATCGAAATTCAGTTCGTAAACTTTCTTGCAGATTTCGCTCGATTGCAGGATTTGCAAAACATGAGCACCGCCAACTCGTCAGCAGATATTTTCCAAATCTTTTCATGTTTTTAATCAAGGTGATCACTTGTTTTGATGCATTTCCCGATGTAAGACCTGTTTTATCACAATATAGATCTTGATAATCGATCAGATTGTCCTTTCTCGGCGCCACCATTTTGTGTGAAGCAAACTCAAGCAATACGAGGTGGAATCTGATTGGTCCACAGGTGAGGCGTAGAAGGGACATAACTGGTTATAGCCACTGGTCGCGCTACGATTGAGCCCAGTAATTCCAGCCTAGTTCGGCAAGGGTGGAAACTGGACTTTTAAAGTCAGTTAACTCTCTTGCCCCGGGAAGATGACGATCTGGTAGTAGGCCATCAGTATCTGCCAACTCAAAGTGTGAGTCAGTTCTGACATGGAGAAGAGGCCAGGATGCTACAGTGTTGTTGTTGTTCCAGATCTACCTGAGTGTTTTCCTCGTCTTCCCCATGTACGTGTGGGTCTACTTTGAACCGGAAGAGAAGGGAAAACAGAAGTTTGAAACAGGTACAAAGCCAATCCTCTTATCATTTTCATGAATAAATGTAGCCTTAATTTATTTTGAATGTTTCATATATTGTTTTCACTTTTACTCCTTTCAACAAGTTTCGACCCGTGAAGATCTGGGGCTTACAGCAACCGATGCTAAAAAGGCGACTATGCTTGTCATAAAAGGCGACATTAATGGGTGGTCAGGGTGGTTGACTTGGTTGATGCATGTCATGGTATCCCAATTGGGTGAATCGATGTTCATGATGTCAATAACTGCATTGTCTGGTGCAGACCCGATTATTTATAGACCACGTCAGATAGCTGAAATATTGCCGAGTGCGGCGTTAAATTAAGCAAACAAATCTAACAAGTTTAGATCTTTGACTATAGCTGTCTAAATAGTAGATGCATCTTAAACAGACGAAGGCTATTTATCATTCATCATTTCCTTTCTGTGTGAGCATTATGGTCAAAAGAGATCATCGTCCTATCAAATTGATCTTTGTTGAAAAACATTCTGAGGTATGGATACTGGTACATACTTTATAGGATCCTTATTGGTACAGTGTGATGAAGTTGATACAAATGGTATGATTGGTTTATTCTGAAATTATTGTAACCTGTGTTATGATTGGTTCAATGTGATATTGTCACAGGCATTCTTTTTGGTTCAGTGTGATATTGTCACAAACATTCTGATTGGTTCAGTGTAATATTGTCACAAACATTCTGATTGGTTCAGTGTAATATTATCACAGGCATTCTTTTTGGTTCAGTGTGATATTGTCACAGGCATTCTGATTGGTTCAGTGTGATATTGTCACAGGCATTCTTTTTGGTTCAGTGTGATATTGTCACAAACATTCTGATTGGTTCAGTGTAATATTGTCACAGGCATTCTGATTGGTTCAGTGTGATATTGTCACAGGCATTCTTTTTAGTTCAGTGTGATATTGTCACAGGCATTCTAATTGGTTCAGTGTGATATTGTCACAAACATTCTGATTGGTTCAGTATGATATTGTGACAAGCATTCTGATTGGTTTAAAGTAATGTTGTCACAACTATTCTAAATGGTTTAAGGTAATGATCTCGTGACACATATTTTGATTGGAAAAGTTGGAGGAGTATGTAAAAAATGATCTGACTGGTTCAATGTGATGATGTCACAAGCGTTCTGATTGGTTCAGTATATTGTCACAAGTATTCTAATTGGTCCAATGTGTTGCTACAGATGATGATGAAGAGGAGGTGGAGATTGCAGAGGACACCATGCTTCTGCGACCGACATCCATGGACTTGGGGGTCAAGAGGGTGGGTTGGGGACCGGGGTCCCAGTCTTTCTCTGTGACATGAGTCAGTGTCCGGCACGAATAAGGCCAAGGCCAAAGTTAACTTTTTTTTACAGGGGGGCAAATAAGATTATGCATTTCTTATTCAAGTTAACTTTCACAAGGAAAAATGTTTTCTATATTTTCTATATTCTGTTTTCCTGCCCCCACCCGGCACTGGCTACGGCACTGAAGGCTGTAACTATCAAGGGAAGCCAATTACCTATCAGCGCCAATTATCCGTTGGCTTCCCTTGTTAGTTTCCACCTTTTGTTATCTTATTACTTTTGTTGTCCTTACATTTACATATATATGCTCTCTGCCTCATGGCATTCATTCACCTGATGAAGGAGTAAGCATATACTCTGAAACGTTGTGTTCCTCATAATAAAGAAGCTGACATCCATATGTTCTCTTCCTCAGTTCTCAATGCTTCAATTTGGCTATAAATTGGACTGATTGAAACTGTCAGAAAAGTGAACATTTTTGTCTTGTACAAGCAGGACGAGATATAATCTCTGAGGACTAGTGAAATATACTTTCACTTGTCCTCTGAAATAGTTTAAAAAAATACAAATTTCTGAGGCTGAGACCCAGGATCTTTAACAGAAACATGTAACACAGGTTGATGTGTAGGGTGTTATGTCATGTAACCATGGTGACAGTTTATAAGATGTCATTTGTCGTAATGAGCAACAAGTAGATAGAAATTAAGAGAAACGCTCAATGATTTCCTTGAAAGATGGGGTAGCTTAGTGTTTTAAGGGTTCGCTTGTAATGCCAAAGACCCAGGTTCAATTGTACTATGTATGAAGCCCATTCTGGTATTCCCTGCCATGATATTGCTGTAATACTGCTAAAAGTGGCGGAAAACCATACTCTCTCTCTCTCTCTCTCTCTCACTCACTCACTCACTCACTCACTCACTCACTCACTCACTCACTCACTCAACCACTCAACCACTCAACCACTCACTCAACAACTCAACCACACAACCACACACTCACTCAACAACTCAACCACACAACCACACACTTGCAAGAAGCATGAATGTACACATTATTAAAGGAGCAAGTGTTTAAGAACAAAACATTGAAATGGTGGCAACATATCTTGTTTTCAGAAAAAATCTGTTGTGAAGCAGAAGCTACACAGTCTGATCGCTCGGGGGAACCTGGGGATCAAGCTGCCGCTATGGAAACAGATCTTCTATCTGTGGAGTGCCCCCATCACCAAGTTCTGGATCAATCAGGTGAGTACCATCCACATCCTCATCCATAGGGGGTTGAAGAGTTGCCTCCCTTACCTATGCCAGGTTCCACTGCTGTGAGTTTGAATCACTTTAGGACTGTTTAAGGTTGTTGATCTGTACTCATCCATAGGGGTTTGCAGAGTTACCTCCCTTAGCTATGCCAGGTTCTGCTGCTGTATGTTTGAAGCACTTGAGGTCTTTGTAAGGTTGTTGATCGTTACTCATCCATAGGGGGTTGCAGAGTTACCTCCCATAGCTATGCCAGGTTCCACTGCTGTGAGTTTGAATCACTTTAGGCCTGTTTAAGGCTGTTGATCTGTCCAGTAAATCAGGTCATAGATGCTTTCCCCATGAGCGTTATTCCTACACGAGGGTTTCACCTGAGTGGTAAGTTACATGTAGGACCACCCATGGGCATTCCGGGTAAGAATATAGGTCCCGGCAACCTGTGCTTGTTGCAAGAGGTGACTGAATGTCAGCGCGACTTGCTAAATTGCATGTCATTGTATTCCAAATGCATGGAGCGATGCTTATGATGTCAATAACCATATTGTCTAGTCTGGACTTAATTATTTACAAACCACCGTCGTATAGCTAGAATGTTGATAGTGGTGATAAACAACAAGCCAACCAACAAACATCTATGTCCTGACCTGGGACTTTCCTCCTTTAACTGACATGCTGTAAAAACTGAAACAATGTTACATGCCGCTTTTAGCAATATTAGAACTGATTTTATGTGTACCCTCTGTCATATACCCCCCACTCACTCATACACACACCCCATTCACCCATACAAACAACCACCCCCCACCCCCCACCTCCCACTCACCCATACACCCTCCCACTTATCAAGCCCCCTACTCACCAACCCACTTTTCCAGCCACCTACTCACCCATACACTCTCCACTCACCCACACACACACCCCTCATCCATACACATCCCCACTTAACAAGCCACCTTCTCACCAAAACACACCCCTACTTTTCCAGCCACCTACTCACCCATACACTCCCCACTCATCCATATTCCAGCCACCCACTCACCCATACAACCCCTTCACTTATCCAGCCACCCACTCACCCATACAACCCCCTCAAATATCCAGCCACCCACTCACCCATACACCCCCTCACTTATCCAGCCACCCACTCACCCATACACACTCCTACTTATCCAGCCACCCACTCACCCATACGCCCCTCACTTATCCAGCCACCTACTCACCCATACACACCCCAACTTATCCAGCCATCCACTCACCCATACGCCCCTCACTTATCCAGCCACCTACTCATACACTTAGCGTTGTGTTCCAGCTGTTCTATGTGTTCTTCCTGGTGCTGTTCAGTGTGGCAGTGTTGTGGCCCTCGTGCGGGAACGTCTACCTCAACAGCGTCGTCTTCATATGGACCGTCATCATCTGGGCAGAACTTGTCAGAGCTACACTTGTCAAGAAAGCGGTCAGTTCTATTTCAAACTTCCAGTTAGCTTTTGATTCACGAAGCACTAACGCTGCCCCTGTCATTGTACACCTGTGGGGATTCCAGGATAGAATAGCTCCGCAGCAACCTATGCTGGTCGTAAGAGGCAAATTTTTTAACTTATCCTGCATTACTCCGTATTGCATTTACTGCTATGTTTGACAGAGAGACGAACTGTGTGAGATCCAGCTGCTGAAGAAAGTTGTCCCAACCAGCCCAGGAGGCAGCGCCCTCTCACAGTCGGCACGTGACCCGGAAGTCATGACGTCACACCAAAAGACATAACTGCTTTGTCACCTCCACGGACGGACGTACTTTGTATCCCTTGTGGAAATTAAAGCTTATTATTTGTTTTTTATATTTTGCGTGTTTCTACATTCATTATATGCTGCTACATTGTTACCTGTTATGGGCCGTGACCTTAGGGTCTTCCCATTCGTAAATTGTAACGTTTATCGATCGTCTGTGGCTCACGTCACAGTAATTTACGGGCGCAATGTTGTTCCCGCCATTTTGTTTTCTTTCCCGCCATTTTGGTCATTCACCACGTGGCCACGTAATGTCGTGTTCTGCGTTTTGAATTCTCTCTTTGGCTTGGGTAATACATTACATTTATGTATGTTGTTTTGGTGTGCTTAAAGCCTTGCCTTTTCGCTACCTCTCAGCGTAATTGTTTCTTCTCATAAACTTCAATATAATACGAAGTTTATGAGTTACATTATGTCTCCCGTACTCTGTGGTTTTGCCACATGGTTACGTGTTTGCTTAAGGCTTTGCCTTTTCGCTCCCTTTTAGCGTACTTGTTTATCTCATAAACTTTAATAAAATATACTGTTTTTGAGTTACTTTATGCTTCCCATACTTTGTGATTGGCCACACATTATGCTTCCCGCACTTTGTGGCTTTGCCACATAGTTATGTTTTGCTTAAATTCCAGATTTTCTGCCGCGCTGCACTTGTTTCCGCGGGAACAAATCTGGTCGGGGCCGCCCCTTTCTGCCGTGATTGTACGACGCCCTGTACTTTCACAAGGCAGTGCCGATGTTGCAGTCATTCGTCGCTGTGATCCTTCAGCTCATGCGAGTATCCAGGACACACCTCGCTCAACGTGCTCGTTGACCCCCACCTACGTTGACGGCAGCAGCGCTCAGCGGAGCTTCACGGCGGCTCCCAACGTAGAGTCTGCCTCCCATGGCACGACATACGAACGTTCACGGTCTCCTACTCCACCGGCGGCTCCAGCGCTCCCAACGTAGAGTCTGCCTCCCATGGCACGACATACGACCGTTCGCGGTCTCCTACTCCACCGGCGGCTCCAGCGCTCCCAACGTAGAGTCTGCCTCCCATGGCACGACATACGACCGTTCACGGTCTCCTACTCCACCGGCGGCTCTAGCGCTCCCAACGTAGAGTCTGCCTCCCCTGGCACGACATACGACCGTTCACGGTCTCCAACACCGTCAACGCTGATGTCTCCGGCGCCCCCGGCGCCTCCGATGACTCGGCGCCTCTGATGACGCGGCGCCTCCGGCGCTCCCGGCACTCCCGGCGCTCCCGGCGCCTCTGATGACGCGGCGCCTCCGGCGCCTCTGATGACGCGGCGCCTCCGGCACTTCTGATGACGCGGCGCCTCCGGCGCCTCTGATGACACGGCGCTCCCGGCGCTCCAGGCGCTCCAGGCGCTCCCGGCGCCTCTGATGACTCGGCGCTTCCGATGACTCGGCGCCTCTGATGACTCGGCGCCGCTGATGTCTCGGCGCTCAACAAGCTTCATGACTTGTTCATGACAAGCTGATAACTCGGCGCCGCTTATGTCTCCGCGCCTCTGATGTCTCCGCGCTCCGGCGCCTCCGCATCCTCTGATGTCTTCGGCGCTCAACAAGCTTCAGATCAACAAGCTTTATCAAGCTCAGATCAACGAGCCGACCATCCGATCTTCTACTGCGGCTTAAGGGGCACCATCGGCAATCGCCTCCCCGGCGCCACTGCCCTCTTCTCTTGCTGCCGTCTCATAACTCATAACACGGAGAAGCATGGTGAAACAACTGTCGCCGCTCCTTTCGCTACTCTCCCGTCGGTCTTCGGGATCGTGACTATCGTTCTACTTCCTGGGTGGAATCATTTCAACCAATAGACAGTTGGTCTGATTCAACTTGCCCACTGAGACGTTATCCATAATCCCGTCGTTTAAAGCGCTATGATTCCGGAGAGATAACCTGCGGGTTTCCATCGAAACAGAGCGTCATGTGAACAGCGTCTGTATCAGATTCGACGACGACATCCACTTACAAAGAGTTTACTTCGTCGACATCGCAGACATCAACGCTGTTCTACCCTACCCTAGCGCCAGCGTTCCTGAGAGAGACTCTTCCTCGGCGCTCCCCGGGTTTTCCACGACGCCCATGGGGTTCCGTGTTTTATCGCAAAACTCGGGTACACCACTTGATCGTCTCTCACACAGTTCATTGAGGATTGTCTGTGTGTGGAGTTTGCACCTCAGTTCCGACTCCAAGGCGGTTTTCTCGGCTACTGCGCAGAGTGATTTACATGTCACGTGTCAAGTACTCGGACTGTCAACAACTCCGACCGGATTTAGGTCAACTTACCATGGCAAGGGGTGCCATGTATTTCTACAGATTGGTTTCCATGTCTACCTGTACGCTTGGTGATACCACTCTACCAGGCGCCTGTCGCAGTCCATCCATGCACGGATGTTGGAAACAATAGACCTCCTCTACCAACACGGCTGTCACGAGGAACCTTGTTTCATCAACCCTTCGCTATAAGAACGATAGCGCCTATAGGCGTTCAAGGGATGGAAAAGATCGCCTTCCTTCGTCCGGTTTGATCTTTTCGACTACGACAGGTAGTCCTATCTTCCGCCTTGACTACCGGACACAGTGTCGATTTGATACTTAAAGTCCCTCGGCCGTCCCACTGACCCCTGTTGCATACCTGCCTCGTATCGTGTTGTCGTCCTCCATCGTCACCTCGATATAAGAACAGGAGTACTTATACGCCGCTTCAGGGATGAAAACGATCTCATTACTTCGTGCAATGGCCATATTGCCTCGACTTCCTACTACCCGGTTACGTCGATGCCCCGGCGGTCGATTGTGAAGCTGGTTTACTTCGTCTACTTGAGGTTGGCTCGCAGGCGATCACACCTTTTTTCCGAATCGTACCGACGGTACGCAATCGCAGACCCCTGTTGCTGACTACCTCCCCTGCCACCTTGTCAGTGGCTAGTGGCCCACGCCAGCCCACATTGTGACCACCTGTGATCCAGAGATCAACACCATTGGCACAGCAACAGCCTCGAGATAAATGCTTATCCAGGACGGCACTTGCTGACAGTGCATTCTCGGTCACGCCCTGTTGATCGTGTCCACTGACGACGTCACCGTAGTGTGGTGTTTGCGGACCCAGAGTTCTCGCCCCTCTCCCGGCGCCACAAACTCGACCGGCGCCCCCGAGAATCACCATCTTCGGCGTTCCAGGCGCCTCAAGCTCTCCGACGCCTCACGCTCTCCGGCGCCTCGGGCCAGACTATGTGAAACGGTCGACACCCCAACCCTAGATCTGTTTGCCTCATATCTGAATGTGGCCAGCTGTCGTCTTCCATTCCACCTGTGCCGGATACGACCGCTGTGGCAGTCGAAGCCTTCCATCGTTCCTGAGAAGGATTACGCGCGTACGCTTTTCCGACTCCGGTTCTCCCTCCCACGGTTCTTCAGAGATCCAGGCCACTCGACCCCTGCCATTGACTTTGGTCTCGCCTTATTGGTCAGCCAGAAGTTGGGTTATCGACCTCCGAAACATAGCCAGAGACAACCCCTGGAACTTCCGGTGTGGTCCAACCTTCTGCTCCATCCACACGGTCTGTTGCCACACCCTCATACCCGCATGTTATCGTCTGCACGCCTGACACACATGCAGAAAGCCAAGGGCTATTCGGCTAGAGCGACCAAGGCTATTGCTTCAGCCCACCGTCCATCTACAGGGGGACTGTATGCTGATAACTGATGCTTGTTCCAGGCATTTTGTTCTGACAAACACCAGGATCCGATGACAGCGTCACCGCAGATCCTGGATCAGTTCCTTCTGTACTTGTGTAGCACCCATCGGTTGAAGGGCTTACCACCCCCACATACCTGGTCGCCATCTACTCCGTTCTGGCCATCCCGGACGATCGGAGAAAGACGAAAATTCCCGACCTACGGGCCTGGCTGCGCTCGTTCAGTCTTGAAGACCTGAAGACCAAGTTCGGACCGCCTGCGTTGGATCTGAATGTGGTCTTCAATACCCTTCGAACCACTCCCCTCGTCTTCCTTCTTCGACCTTAAGTAGAAGACGGGTGTTTCTACTGGTTTTGACTACTGCCGCTCGAGTCCATGTACAGCACGCCCTCGACGCCTCCCATGCCCGGTTCGAATGCGGTACCCAGGGCGCCGTTCATCATGGACCGTACTGGGACGTCAGCGTAAAGATTCAACTCCCAGGACAGCCTGATAGATCATTCCTTGTCCCCTCCCCCCTCGTCCAGTGTGGGTGCCGAGGATGAGGATGAGCGTCATTATGCCCAGTAAGGGCACTGAAGGTTATTCTACGATCTAAAGACTGCCGCAAGTCTAGGAAACACCTTTTTCTGCCGGTCTCCCCTTCGTCGCTGTCGTTGGTCAGCCGGAATACTTTTCCCTGTGGCTCCGGGCGGTCATCCTTAAAGCGTATGAGCCGCCGGATTGGACCCTCCCCCCAAAGGCTATTACCTGAAATAAAATGAGATCAGGGCGATCGTATTTACACTGGTTCTTCACGGTATACTGTTCCATCCCGTCGTTCAGGGAAGCCTGCTCGTGGCGATCGGACACCGCCTTCACCAACCACTACTTCCGTGATGTAGCCTTGAAAGTTGTCGCCGGCGTTCACAGTTTTGGTCCCTGGTTGTAGCCCAACAGGTCATCTATCTCCGACGCCAC